TACAGCTGTAAAAACATTTGTACAATGAGTGGCTATGACTATGATTATGTTAAGGAAAGCATATGAATATGAAGAATAAATAGCAGGCAAAGAGAGTGTATTTATTGTTATATGACACCTGATAACTTTGTGCGTGACGCAGTAGCAGAGTGGTTAGCACTTTAGTCTCATAAGACTACACCAACGCACAGAAGTACTAGTACTAGTAAGCTGCATTTTATCAAACTCACACCCTTCTGCTGTTTTTCATACAAATCCTTATGATGATTAGTAAACTAATTGACAGACCTATAATAAGCATTATCTTTTTAAAGAGAGACAACTCATTTAAATAAACCAAAACAGCAAATTTCTAAACTATAGACTAACATGTTTCCAAATAAAATAAAAAACACATTATTGTCACTGTTTAGTCACAATATACATAGTTTATCATAGCCTGTAGGATTCTGAATATTTACAAAGATACATAATTTCCTCCAAACAACTAAAAAGTGCTTTTGTTTTACTGTTTTAGTGCAATGGATAAGACCTTTGTTCCTGATGTCAAGGTCAGGCTTGAAAAGGGTGCCCCCCATCCGCCTCAGAGCCCCCACAGCAGGGGGCAGTGGTCTAGTAAAATTGAGTTCCTCCTGGCTGTAGCAGGGCAGATCATTGGCCTTGGGAACGTATGGAGGTTTCCCTATCTGTGCTACAAGAATGGAGGAGGTGAGTGGATGTCATACTCTATAAATCTAGTAGATGACTTCACAACATTCTAAAATGACTATAGTTTGAGGTGGATGACAGGTCAAAATTTTTATAGTCAAAGTAGTTGACCTGGTTCATGGTTAATATCTCAGTTCCTGAACATGAAGCAAAACTAGCACAAATTTAAATACTCTAGAAATAAAGAAATAAAGAAAAGCTATACATTTATGCCAAAGTCAAAGACATGATTCCTGTCAGTTGAAAAGTACAATATGGCAAGGTTTTGGAGCCAATCCTAAACAAATGATATATTTGAAACAAATTATATATATATATATATATATATATATATATATATATATATATATATATATATATATATATATATATATATATATATATGAGTGTGTGTGTACCTTACATTTAAAGTAATATTAACAGTCAAATAAATTCTTCCTATGTTTTATTCAGGAGTCTTCTTTATCCCATATGTGGTGTTCCTCTTCACTTGTGGGATTCCTCTGTTCCTCCTGGAAACTTCAATGGGACAGTACACCAAGCAGGGCAGCATCACTGCCTGGAAAAAGATCTGTCCCTTATTTCACGGTAAATTTTATTTTATATGCCTTTTTTCTCAAATTAATATATAACAATGTGACATATTGCAGTTTAACATAAAAACACATTTTTTCCTCCAAAGTCTGAACTCTGCTGAATTAACTGTGGATTAATTATAGACCCCTCGATTACAAAAACCCAAGTTGATCCTTGGCGATTAGTCAAGAGTCAAGAGTACTGATCAAGAGTAATTTACTGCTTGTTTTATTGGTATTGGCACAAATAGTAAAGAATATAAATATATTCCTGGTACACTAGACAAGTAAGTTTTCCATTGGTCATGTAGTTCATGTGGTAAACAAGTCTGGTGGCAGCCAGGGCACATTCCTGTTTCGAGTGAGGGCCAGAACCCAACAGACTGGTATTGTGCACTCACACTGTCATTACAAATCTGACCCGTAGATGTGGAAAAATATATTTAGGGAATGAATAACTGTTTCTGAAAGTAAGAAACACAGTGTAATATAAATGTACACTTTAAATACACTACAGATAATAGACTTCGACAAACTTTGACTTGACTCACTTTATTTTAACATCATAATAATTTTACGACTAGCAGGTGATAATCACCCTTTTATTCATGTATGTCCCCACCCATTAATAAAAATAATTATTCTAAAACAAGTAGAACATCTTGTATTACTGTTTTATATTACATAGCTGAAAATGTTGCAGTTCTTCGAAGTGAAAGCTATCTCTCGAGGTTCATAATCTAAGTAGAGTAAACATGTGAGGCCAGATGGTGAAACAGTTATAGCTTGAAATGTAATAAGGTTGTTTGGTGACCCATTTCTGGTCACAATAACATAAGTTTAGTCAGTCTGATCTTTCTGTTAAAAAATACCTTATATCCTTCATCTATTTAATCAGGAAGAAAAACAAGATCTGACCATTTTTAACACATCAAGTATAAGATAAGCAAACCAAACCAAATGGTGACACAAGGATTTGCAATTATGACATGATTTTAAAGAGTGTATTGTTTGCTTTGTTTTGTCTTTCATTTATTCATTAGTTTTTTGTCTCTGTCTCTGCAGGGATTGGCTATGGTAGCCAGGTGGTTGTTTTGTACTCAAGCATCTATTACATTATTATTTTGGCCTGGGCATTCCTGTATCTCTTCTCATCTTTCAGCACTGAACTTCCCTGGGCTAGCTGCAGAAACAGCTGGAACACAGGTAATACAAATGGATTTACATGTTGCCATTTTATTTAGACCTGCTAAGATAATCCAAGAGTATGTTGTTTTGTCTAGAAACGTGTGTGGAATTTGATCGATTGGGTGATTTAAATTTGACCATAGCAGCAAATGCAACATCACCTGTGCGAGAATTTTGGGAGTGAGTACAACAGTTGAAATCATACCCTAAATGAGGAGTTAAGTTGATTATGTAGTTCTGAATGAATATGTTTCGTAGGAGAAGAGTTTTGGACTTGTCGGGAAGTGTCCATGAGCTGGGGGGGGTCCGATGGGAGCTGGCTTTGTGTCTTCTGCTTTCATGGGTCATATGCTACTTTTGTGTCTGGCAGGGTGTGAAGTCCACTGGGAAGGTAAAACCTAAGTATTATAAGAAACCACAACTTTTATTTAAAGGTGCATTATGTAACTTTTCTGGTGGAGGCTCCATCACCTGCTTGTTTCTATGGATATGTCATTGCTTTAGAATGTTCCACAGTATTAAACAGCTCTACATTTATTCAAATACAGGTGGTTTTACAGTAAAAAAAAAAAAAACAAGGAAAAAAAAAAAGCAACTGGAATTCTGTGAGCAGGATTGCCACTGGTCTGGTCTTCATGAAGATAGAAAGGTTTAATACCATGCTGTGAAACATTCCAGACAGAGCAATAACATCTCCACGGAGACAAGCATTTGACGGACCCTCCATCAGAAAAGTTACACAATGCACCTTTCACATAAAGTTACAGTAACACTTTAAGATACGAATAAGAGGTCAGGATTTTTATTCAAGAAACAATATTATAACAGGAAACTTGTTGGATGATTGTATTTAATGTACTGAAAGCTGACATGTAATGCTGACAAACTCCCTAGATACAGCGTATTATGTAATCCTGACAAAACCTGGCTGTTAATTTGGGTATTGAAAGCATAAAAAACTTTAAATGGTAGGCAAATGAAACAAAGATGGGGCTGTTTGCTAGAGGTGTGCCAGTCTGTAACAGGTACCATGATAAAGTTTGCTCCTGTAAACAAGGATCAAATTTATAAAAACACTTTATTAAAACATTATATTTTCCTGGCATAGATAAATGTTTATTACTTTACTTTATTAATACACCTGTCCAACTAGGAAGGGCTGAATCTGCTGGTAGAGACACTGCAATAAATGATCAAATTGTGTAATTGTAAATTATAGAAAATGAAATTTGCCTAGAAAGTTATATGAATTAATTTGATGGTAGGACATAAGAGGGGCTGTAACCAAACCAAAGACTGAACAACACAGGCTTGAACTAGCAATAAAAAGTGGAAAAATTTCTAAGCCAGGACTAAACTACTGTATACCTTAGTTTAGTTTAGTTTAGTTTAGTTTATTGTACTTATTTAGTGTCATGCACCATTTAATTGGTGCCTAGCCCGCATGGGCTTATAAGACACATAAAACAATAAGCAGACAGATCACACATCAAACATAAAGTGTCCTCTTACGGAGGTCCCAGGCTTTCAACACAAACTGAGCCAACTTAAAAACATTACATTTAAACAAATACTTCAGTTTCTCCTCATCAGACATAACAAACCAACAGTTAAGACACATTAGACAACAACTGACAGCACAGGTCATGATACAAAGGACAGTAAAACAGAAAATGCATACCAAACTAAACACAAATAAAAGCAGTCTAAGTAAATCACAATGAAAAAATATTTAAAACTAGTATTTACAAATGTTTACTTATCCAATATTCCTTCTCAACATTGTAAATATGTTTCAGGTGGTCTACTTCACTGCCACATTCCCCTATTTGATGTTAGCAGTACTTTTGGTGCGGGGTCTGACGCTGCCAGGAGCCTTAAATGGTATCAAGTTTTATCTGTACCCAGACCCATCCCGCCTCAGTGACCCTCAGGTATGAACACATCTGCATCCCCAGCAGACACACATTCCTCTATAGTCACATGCCTGGACTACATACTAGTACGCTGATCTCTCATATGCTGTACAATAACTCACAATAATGTCATTAGTAAAGAAATATCTTCTTTTAAAATATTCTGTTGAGATTTAAAAAAGGTTACATATCCATTGTATTTGACTTCGGCTTAGAGAAGCGTCATTGATCCATTGTATTTGACTTAGGCTTAGAGAAGCGTCATTGATCCACAAGGGAAATTATTTGGACACAGTAGCTCACACATGACAATATATTATAATGACAAAAATATAAATGGTAATAATAAATTCAATATAAGTAGCAAAAATAGTGAAAGTCTGGTGCCAGATAATAATATATAAATATATATGTACAAGAAAAAATAAAATATAGAAATATAGTAATACAAATATATCTCAGCTATATACAAGCGGTCATAAGGAGAAACAGTGCAAAGATGAGATAATGAGTGACAGGACATAGAGTTATCTATTACATAAGGGTGAGATGTTGTACACTTAGATGGCTTTAATGATATGAATTGTAATGCAATGCCATGGAGACAAGCATGTGGCAGACCATTTGAAAAGTGACATAGTGTACCTTTATGGATGTGACATGAATGGGGCAAAACAACTGGGACATCACGACTGGGACATGTTATTTTCACTGTTTCAACCAATCACCTCAGTATTGTTTATATGTGAAATGGCCCTGCTATGTTTTGAATTATTAGATGATATCTGTCTTGTCTGTTTTGTAGGTGTGGATGGATGCTGGTACTCAAATTTTCTATTCCTACGCAATCTGCATTGGGTGTTTAATGGCTCTCGGCAGTTACAATAAGTACAATAACAACTGTTACAAGTAGGTTTATCAAACACACCATAAACTGACTTGTGTTATTATATTATATGTATCAGAGGAGTTCTAAAATAAAGTATACAATTTTTCTGTTTCTTCCAGAGACTGTGTGTACTTGTGCCTTCTAAACAGTGGGACTAGTTTTGTGGCCGGGTTTGCCATTTTCTCAGCTTTAGGCTTCATGGCATATGAGCAGAATACAGACATATCAAAAGTGGCTGAATCAGGTAAAGGCAATTTAATCTGGAATATAGTGCTTTAACACATACACAGTTAAAGTAAACAGACACACCACGTTATTTTGATCTGCTTTCATCTGGTCTTGTAATTTACAGATGGAAATGTCAACTAGTGTTTTTTTTTGCTATTTTATACAATTTTGTCACAAAGTTTTGGGACACATTTTACTTGGCATGATATTAGCACTCAGGAGTAGTGGGATTTACCTATTCTGTATTTTTTAACAGGAAGTCAACAGCCTCATTTCTATTACTAAGTTTTAGATCAATATTATACACAGTGGAAAATAATTATATACATGTTATGGTTTATTGCTAATTAGAAGAAAAAGCATACAATTTTAAAAAGGAAAAAAATCTGTTTCTCTGTTAGAATGATGATACACACAATGATAAATACACTATAACATAATGTCCTCCTTTCAGGTCCTGGTTTGGCGTTTATTGCTTATCCTCGAGCAGTTGCCATGATGCCTTTCCCTCAGATCTGGGCCATTTTCTTCTTTATTATGATTATCTTACTGGGACTTGACAGTGAGGTAAACAGGTTTTTCAATAATTACCTTAATGTAGAGTCATCATTCATTCTACAAATATATTGTTATGATGGCACAGGTCTCATTATAAGGATGGATGGACCAATTACATAATACAATTTAAATGTTTGGTTTTGGGGTTTTTTTGGTTTACAAGACTAAACAAGGAACTCATTTGGGACTCATACCAAACTGTCAGGTGGGGCCTCCTCTCAGACCCTCTACCTCTCCTTAAAGGTCTGCCCAGGGATCTATTCTTGGCCTCACCCTGTTCAGCACTGACACACAAACCACTGGAAAATCTGTGTCTAATTTATATGCAGATGACACTATCCTTTATGTATACAATTCTTGTCTTAGCACTGGATTCGCCCTGCTCTAAAACAGTTTCACCTTGCTTCAGCATGCCTTTTCTGACCTCCACAAAAACAGTTTCACACGCTCCACAAAAGAGCTTTTGGTTAAAACTACAGTACTCCCAATCATTGACTATGGAGATTAAGTTTACAGATCTGCATCAAAAACACTGCTCCATAAGCTCGATGTAATTTATCATGCAGCCATCCGCTTTGTCACAGGTGCACCATTTACCAACCATCACTGCACACTTTACTCCCTGGTGAAGTGGTCCTCTTTCCACACCTGCAAACAAACCCGCTAGTTATTTTACATTTGCAAATGTTTAACTGATAAAACTCTGTCCTACCTCAGCTCACTACTACACATCCACAGCTCCAGACCCACACTGCGCTCCAACAGATACATGACCCTGGTCATTCCTAAAGCCCGCACAGCTTTGAGCCGCTCCTCATTTCAGTTCTCTGCACCAAGTGACTGGAACCACCTTCAACAGACTTTAAAACTTAGTTAGTTTTTACCTCCGTTGACTTTTAAAAACTCAATCCAGAGTATTTTACAGGATCATTGCAGATACAGTTTTATATTTTCAGTCTGCAAATATTTCGCTGTTTCATTTCTCTATTCACTGTCTCATGTTATGATTGATGTGTGAGTGTGTTCTGCTTGTGCTGTTTTATACTGCCTCTTGGCCAGGTCGTCATCACAAATGAGAAGGTGTTACCTGTTACCTTGACTTACCTGGTAAAATATTGAATAAATAAATGAAAATACATAAACATCAATGTCAGGTTAAATGACCGGTGGAGTATCTGCCACCTGATTGCCTCCATACAGATGTGATTTCTTTGCTTAGAATATTTCAAAATATGGCATTACAGTTTTCATTCGCTTTGACACCCTTCTCTATTGAAGATAGATATTTACAAAGCAGCTCACACAGAGTCCCAAACAGGGTTACGGTTTTCCTAATCAAAATTCAAAGCTGATAACTCATCCCCCAAAAGCAAATTTGATCATCAAAACTCCTAAACTTTGTTTTTCTGTGCTCTTTCATTCAGAAGCTTTAGTCTTTCTCTCAGGGATCACAGAGAATCATCAGTTTAGTGCAGTCTGACTCCGGGGTTCACACATTACACATGCATTTGAGGCTGGACGATGTTTTTGTTTTTGAGAAATGTTCCAAATTATTTCACAGTTGTTGTTTAATTTGATTATTTGATTTAAACAAATGTGCTAAAATGATTGGAATTTTTTATTTAATTATTTTTTTTACTCTTCTAGAAATAATTTGGTAACTTGAGTTATAAATTACTTTTCAGTTTGTGGGACTGGAAGCCTTGGTGACAGCCATTTCAGACCTGTATCCCTCCTACTTCCATGTCGGGCATCGGCGCAAGTTCCTCCTTCTGTCCATTTGTGTGATTAGCTTCTTTATCGGCCTGGTCATGGTCACAGAGGTAAGCACAGGGCCCAGAAATCTCATCCAAATGTCTTCTTTTTCCTTTCTTTCGTACTATTTGATTTACTATTTGAGCAAATTCTGTTTTTCAGTTTACAGTTTTTTAGATAATTCCAAGTTTGTTATCTGAAAGAATGATGAAACTGCTAAACAAATAGTGGAATCACATGCATTTTAAGAATAAAACTAAAAGGTCTTCACATAATAAGACAATACAATCAATGTATTTCTAAGATCAATGCATTTGTAATCATTGTAGGTTTTGGGCTTTGACCATTCATATTGCAGTTTCAGTTAAATTGGAAGACTTGCAGCCACTGAAAGTAGATTTTTTTTGTTTGTTTGTTTTACACATCTTCAGGCATGTTGAAATGTCTTGCATCCTATGTAACTTGTCAAATTGCTTTGTTTTGGTTGAATAATGTCATTCTTTAGGGACAGTTCATATACTCCACATGTAAAAAATATGTAACAAGAAATAAAACCGCTTAAGGAATGGTGAACACAAACTCACATTAACATTTATATGAGGGTCAGATACTAGTCTACAACTCTTATTTGGGTTTGTTGAAATTGTGAATATTTTAAACAATTATTCACATACTGACAGACAAAGGGATTTTAGAACATGTAGCTTTTTATATTTACCATGCTGTTTTTGTAATTGATTAGATTAATTGCATAGCCTAATCACCAGCGCTACCTGCCAACATTTTGAGATCTACTGATGTAGGAAAAGAAATGGATGATATATCAGTACTAATATAGGCAGTGGTCTTGGAGGGTTCCCCTAGATATCGGTGTCAGTCATAAATTAAAAATGGAGCAGATATTTGGCACAAATATTTTTCCTAAGCTGCTCTTGTTTTTGTGGCCACATGTCATTCTCAGTTTGTCCTCAGTGCATCAGATGTGTCATTTTCCCAGACTGTGGAAATGGCAGACCAAGCAGGGTAAAATGTCTCTGTATGCTTACACAATCATTAGACATTATTTATTATTATTTATATACCTCAGACATTTTTTTATTATTTTGACAAAAGTGAAAAGATAATTTGTGAACTTTACAGCAACTCCACATCAGTTTGTGGACCCAATCCATGTCCCAGTCATGCGTTTCACAACTTCCTGTTATATGCAGCAGTTTTAGTATTTTTTCCAATTCAAAAGATATAATATTTTGTTTTAAAATGTTAATCATTATGGCAACAGTTCAAAATTTCATTCATTCAAAACATCATTCTGAAATATGGCTAGATTTTAAAATATTGATTTTGGTGTTTGCAAATATCTATCGTCCACCACAGCAGCAAGTGTTGGATGTCAGTATTTATATTGAATCATTCCTGATCCATAGAATGTGCATGTAACAGTAACAGTCAGAAGTGGAGGAGAGGTCGTTGGCAAGTTCATGTCCATAAATAACAGGCTTGTTTTTTGGCTTTTAGGGGGGACTCTACATTTTTCAGTTGTTCGACTATTACGCTTGCAGCGGCATGACTTTGCTGCTCTTCGCCTCCCTCCAGTCTATCTGCATTGGATGGGTCTATGGTCAGTTTCATTTACTAAAGACCACTATTAACAGTCACTATAAATCCTCTTTTGAATTTTTAAAAATTTACTTAAGTTGGCTGTGTTGCTCCATAAGTCATAAAATTTACAGTTTAAGTAATTTTTATGTCTCTTCACAGGTGCTGACCGTTTTTATGATAATATTGAGGACATGATTGGATACAGGCCTCTTCCATTCATAAAGTATTGTCTTAAGTTTGTCACACCAGTCATCTGTTTGGTAAGTAGCACATACAAAAATAAACATTTGCATTATCTTATTATCTTACAGTAGTTTCAGTTTCAATATGGACACTTTTCACATGTTTTCACTTGTTTGTTTGTTTGTTTGTGTGCTGCAGGGAACATTTGTATTTTCTCTGGTCAAATACACTCCTCTGAAGTTCAACAACATTATGGAGTATCCATGGTGGGGCTACGCTCTGGGCTGGTGGTTCACTCTCTCCTCTACTCTCCTGGTCCCCATCTTGATGGTCTACATGTTGAGCATCACTCCAGGAACACTACAAGAGGTTAGTTTTTCACACCATGTTGATCTGAATGCAGTCAACATTTATAGTCAATCAGTGTTTTCTTTACTAGAGATTCTCCACCCTGTGCACACGATCACATGACCTTCCTTTGACGAAGCCGGAGAGGAAAGCCCTGGAGCTGCAGGAGCTTGGCTCGTGCATTGATAGAACAGTGATGACTTGAAGGCACAGTCTAGTTTGTGCAGTCTAGTTTGTGCACTTTCTTAGGTTTTAAATGTAAATGTGCCATAACACTAAATTTGATCATAAAACATTCCTTCCTCATAGGCTACAGTATGGACTGTACAGCTTTCAGTGTTGAATATGATCAAATTTATACAATTTAATATTTTCTTTTATTACAGTTTACACAAAGAGCTGTGAGCAGTATCACTTAAATAAGATGTCTCCTCTTTCCTGCCAAAGGCCATGAGGACCAAAATGTAATTGGGGGTGTCAAATGTCTTGTGCCAAGGTCAAATGACTCTTTTATTTAGTCTTTACCTTAAGACTCAAAAACTGTGAAACTCCATGTGTACTCCTCAAAACTCTAGCCTCACTACGACACAGCACAGCTGAGATTAAAGCTAACTACAAAAACACAATAGGTACTTTGTATATTGTGCAATTAATTATTTAAATTAAGAATCCATATATATATAGTTCTATAACTGCACACTCATCACATCTGGTGTTTCTAGCAAGTAAGTAAAACCAGCATTAATGATGTAATTAAATCTAAGTAAGATTTCATGATATATAATGTAATATAAGTGTATTTATGCTGTGACCTCTCAATGATTTTATATAACAGGATTATCAAACTAATGGTAAGTAATTTTGTGACTGTCAATGTGTTTGATGTTTAATAAAATATGGATGCTGTGACTTTTTTACAAAGCAATTCTTGCTTTTATCGTAAATTGTGACTGTAAAAATGGTTTTGAATTAACAAAAAAATAATAAGTGGCCTTTCTATTTTACCAGATGCCATTTATGTAAAACAATTTCATGTTTATAAATTGAACTTTTATTTTTATTAATGGTGTTGTAAAAGGTTAACTTTGGACACAAAATGTATTATAAAAATGTTTTTGTGTTTCAAATGATGTAACTACATTCATACTAGATTATTTTTTCTGATTTTAGCAAAGCTAGTGATGTTTATTTTGAGTTGAATATTTATGTTTTCTCTTATTTGTAGTGTATTTTATCCTCTCCTGCAGTGCGAGCCATACTCTGAAAAAAAGAATCTACTAGAAGAAATTATTAGAAGACCAAATTAATCATTGGAATATTTAACTACATTCATGTTTGAATGAACCAAATTAAAATCAAACTACAAAATGCTGATTTTGTGACAAAGGTGGAGGGAAATATTATGCTTTTAAAATGCAACTTTCAGATTTATTGTATACTTTAAAGTGCAAAAAATAAAAAATATATATAAAGAAGACATGAACAAAAGTACCATACATAATTTTTTGTTGGAAAATATACATGCCATGTGTCTGAAACAGTTATCTTGTTTTGTCTCTTAAGGAAGGAGAGTTAGGACTGTTGTAAACATTTTGGTACATTTTGGGCACTGCAGTGCTCTCTAATCTCATATTGGCCTCCACCGCTTTAAACATTGTGATTCGTCCAAATGTTTCCTGTTATTCCCACAAAGTTGTTTTCAAATGGATGAGTGCAGTGTCAAAGGGGAATAGATAACTTGTATGTCCTTCAATGCAACTAACTAGAAAAAGTACTTCATGCTCTTTCCACTGTACAAAATATTGAATGTTGAGAGCCAGAAATACTTGAAAACATCGAGCCACAAGCTATTTAAAAAACCTTGCTAACATACAACAATATATATTAACACACATACATACATACATACATACATACATATATACATACATACATACATACATTCATACATACATACATACATTTTACCCAAGATATTTAAGACAGCTGAGGTTTCATTTTGAACCGATCTCAAGTCTACAATAATCCAGACCATATCTGGACATTTATAAATCAAAAACAGTGTTGATTTGACCGTCACCAAAGTGCATCATTGTCAACCATCAAAAAACATTCACACCTTACAAAGTAGATGCACGTGATACTCGGGTTTGAAGGTAAAATAGTAAAACAAAGCATTAGCTGTGAAATGTTTCTAGAAAGAACGGAGTTTAAAGCTTAAGATCATCTACATCTTACATACTGTATTTAGACAGTGTGAACATAATGGTCAGTGCCAAATATTTGAGGTTTGATGAAGAAATGTTAAATGCTATTACTGTCTTTCTGCCTTTTCAATTAGATATAATGTCCGCAACAAATGCTTTTCATTTACTGATTTGGCAAAGGCTTTACATCAGATGCCCTTCCCGATGTTATTTATACAGGCTTTGGGCAGTCACAAAGTTTTGCATTTAAATTAATGTTCTTTTAAGCTGCCACCCATTTGCTAATTAAGTCATATGAATGCCCTATCTTTAAAGGCAGTCCAGTCAAAGATACACAGCAGGTATCTCAGAATACTAACCTACTGGTATCATATTCAAAATGATAAGTGTATAATAGACACAAAAAATATGATGGATAAAAACATATTTAGTGCCTGACTATGGTCCAATTGCCAATAAATAAAATTTTATAAACAAGGAAATATCTACAACAAACAGATGTTTACATACCTGTAGTTAAACATTTGCAATGTGTGCTGCTTCTTAGACAGGATATGATCCTGTATGGGCACCTTCTTCACATGAATACTATTCATATTAAAGTATGTTGTTTGACATTGAAATGTACACAGAGAGACAACAGCTTAAATGTGTACTGTGTAACCTTCTGGCCTGCCATTTAATTATTTCCATGAGGATGTTATTGATCAGCCAAGAATGTTCCACATTATGACTTTGGCCACCAGGTCAAGTCACAGGTCAGATCTGTGGAGAGGTGAGCCCTCACAGTAAGAATGAATGTTTTTCAAGTATTTCCAAGCATTAGAAACACTCTTGAAGAAAAAAAAAAAGCTTAAGTATATACAAGATTAAAAGTATAGTTACATCTTTATGGAGACAATCAAGTGGCAGATCCCAATCAGAAATGTTACAGGGTGCACCTTTAAATTATGCAGCACAATGATGCACTGTGTATTCTGATGCCATCCTATTTCTAACAGAACCAGGATTAACATGATCAGCATTTTAGCAATCCATATAAATGGAAAAGTGAAACCCATGAATAGCAGCCTGTCAGGTTGGTTCATCACTAGATTGCCAAACTGATGACGTTTTGCCCAGTACATTTCATCTATCTACTTGATGTGTGTTATTCACTTAACCATCAGTGGTCATAAAGTTAAATCTGATCTGTATATTTGGATACTGTAAAGTTGCTTCTTATAGCAGTATTTTTGACAACTTTGATGTGACTTATTACACCTTTTTTTTCATATTGCACATCAACAACAACACAAATTCAAGTCAGAGTTCTGAAAACACCAAGATCGGTGCATGCAGCTGCTCCCGAAAAAAAAAGTGGAGTCTGCAAATGACAGCATAATCCAAAACAAAATAAGAAAAAATACAAATCGTTTCTTGTTAATTCTTCTTTCCTTGTTGCTCTGGAAGGTCCTGCAAGAGTGGTCCGCTGGATATGAGAGAAATAAGTTCAGATTGAGGCTTAACTTTCTGTCTTTGCTTTGAGGAATATGGGAAAGCAAAAGGGAGGACAGTTCACACTCCCTATAGTTCACCGGACTTTACATTAAGAGGTTCACTCCTGAGATGCACTCCGAGATCGCCGCCGTTTGCTACAAACTTCACCGTTCATGCAGTTTCTGAGGCCATCGTCCCTCCTCCTTTTCGGCCTGACATTAACCTATGAGACATTTTTGCATTAAAATAAAATACTTTTTCATTGCATATAATGTCATTGTTTTGATCAGCTTTGTTACAGATTGTATTAATCATTCAAACTTTATACATATTTATCAATTACTGCAAAATCTTCTGTGCAGTTGGTATTGTGTACAGTTATATTGTACACACAATGCAGACAGATTTTAGACAAAAAAGCAAAGCTTTTTTAGTCCAAAATTCATCTGTGAAATGTGTGAACCCATTTGCACACTGGACTAAACCAGTGATTCTCTGTGGTCACTGAGAGAAGGACTAACATTTTTAAGCTGCTATGTCAAATGAATGAAAGAGCACAGAAAAACACATGACAAGAGTTAGAGAGTTTTGTTGGTAAAACTTGTTTTTGTGAGATCAATTTTGACTGTAAAACTGCATTTTGCTGAGATTAAAGGTTCTTAAGGAAAACTAAAAGTCTGTTTAGGATTCTGTGTGAGCTGTTTTGCGAATGTCAATTTTCAATTTGATTAATGTGGAAAAGTTTTTTGCATATAGGACTTGAAAAAAATTGCAAGTCCTATATGCAATCTCACACATGACCACTAGATGACAGTGTTTGCCATAAAAACGCAACAATAACCTGCAATAAACCTAATTAATTAAATTGTGCAATAGTGCAAGGGTACTGACATGTTTTTCTGCACTTGCCGATTATTTTAATATAGTATTCTATTCAATATTAGTTTACATTTCACACCAGGCTGAAATTAAAGGAGCTGTATGTAGCTTCTGGTGGAGGGTTTGTCCTGAAGTTATTATTGCTTTAATTGTAATGTATTATGGTATTATGGTATTATACTTATTGATCCCCATAGCCAAACAGCCCAAGTTACAGGTCAGACAGAGTGAGTGATTGATTTGCTATAAAAAACATCAGTAATTGATTACTATACAATAACATAGGAAAAGCAATAACATCTCTATGGAAAAAAGCATACGGTAGACCCTCACAGAAAACGTTACATAGCACTCCTTTAAGTTTGATTTTTCATAGTTTTAGTTGCCATGAACACCGTGATAAAAACACCCACCTTGGCATCCCGTTCTGCAAATTTCTGGAACATGTTGGCATATGTCCTCTTGTCCTGCTCGTCGTGCTCTCGGATCTTGCCCTGACAGATGGAGATTTGGGACCGCGCCGCTCGGTTCTGAGGACTCACTTGAAGGACCCTTTGGAAGTCCGCCATTGCCAAACTGAACTCATTACGCAGAAGTCGGGCCTCTCCTCGCCGATACCATGCCTTCTCATTAGTTTCATCGATTTCTATAACCTGTATACAAGAGACACATAGTTACACTTAGAATATTGGTGTCATAAAAGTCTGGTGGGTAGTTCCTAAATTATAAAAAGTTGTTCTATCATATCATAATTTGTACTATTGTATATTACTTCAATACACATCTTATGCTCCCCTATTGTATTTGTTTAATAAATGACAGAATTTGGATTTAAATTATTTGGGACAATTTTATGTTTATGGGGGTTGTTTCAAAACATCAGATTTTACTCTTTTTTGTTAGATTGATATCAATAATTCTATATTACATCAGGCATTTGCAAGTATTTTTTGTTGTCATGTAGTATTTTGGACACTGTTGGACACTGCATCTCTACTCATGTAGATTATAGTAAATATACAGTAAGCCATCTTACCTTATTGCAGTTCTCGATGACTTGAGAAAATTCCTTCACTTTGAGGAAACACATGGCTAAATTGAGGTGCGCCATCACCAGAAACTCTTTAATCTTTTTGTGCTGCTCAATGCCACTTCCACACTCCATCTCCAGCCACGAGATGATCCGCTGGTACTGAACGACCGCCTGGTGGTAGTGCCCTCCCTGGAGAATGGGCAAGATGTTACATAAAGTAGGTTGTGGGCCTATCAGTAGCACAGTTGCAATAGCACTTAACAATTCAAACAAAATATAATATTGTTTTGAATGAGGTGAAGAAGCTAAAACCTATGAATAGTTAAAACTGAGCTAGAAGGCTGGTCCAAATTCCATGGTGGGACAAAATGTTCATGTTTAGCACCGGTGTATGGTCAATATTTCTTTAATTATTGGGCATATTCACAAGAGACAGTTACAAATCTTCTCTGTCAGCACAAATGAAAAAGATTAAATTAAATATGTATTAAATATAGCATACAGATAACTTAAAATAATATTCCCAATTAAAAAGAAATTTGATTAGGCATTTGTGGATTATTTTTATTTCTTTCAAAAATGATACAATCTCTTTCCCATTATGTTATATTGCTCCCTGCCATCCATCTAAACACTAACATAACAGAATTGAAGAAATACAAGTGCAAACTATTATAGGTAATAGTACGTTGGAAGATAAATTTGATTAAGTGAAATTGCACCTTAAAATACTGATTCCCTTTATGCTTCACACCAGGAGCAAGATCCAACTTCTCTTTTAAATCCATCTCCCAGGATTCTTTAGCCTAAAAAAAATTAGGTAAGAGCTGCATGAAGGAGGACACATATTATAACATAGGGATTTGTAACAATTTCTCACCCTTTGAAAATCTTTTAATGTAACATCATATTCAAGTTCTTTGTCTGGTCCAATTTTAAACTCTGGTTGACCTTCACTTCCAAAGCCATACCTGAAATTCAAAAGATATGGTAAGTGACAATAAAAGCACAAACCTTACAACTTCACATTTGTTTAGTGGGAGATTATCCACTATCTTAATTTCAAAGTATTAGTTACAATATATGAATTTCATCACTGTCAGTATAATAAGTAAAATACAAGGTATTTATTCATTATTACACACAATGGAATTATGATGAGCTATTTAAAGTTTGTGTAATCTAATAATTGTTAAATTCAATTCAAGTTTATTCATACATTATAAATTGTAAGTGAAATATATTTTCCTTATTGTCAGACTGTTACTGAAGTCAGAATCAGAACATACTTCGGTTGTAGGTGTAGAACACAGCGCTCTGATTTCTGCATCTTGTCCATGGCTCGATCCACGCCCAGAGGGATGCCTTTATCTTCTCCCTCCCCTACACTGAAGGTCACGTCTCTGCAGTCAAACAGCTGACCATCGCATCTCCCCTCCAGGTGCACTGTGGATGTAAATTTAGAGATTCTTTGACAATATAGAAATAATTTAACACTTATCATTTATTTTGATCTTCTTCTTACTTTTTATCACTTGCATATTGCTATCAGCCAATCACAACCTGGTACCCGCTTCTTAACATTTCTCCTCTCTAACCCATGATAAATATATTCCCCCACCCTTCTTTTATTCGTAGTAGCAAACCAGCAACTCTCTATATCACTACATCAGCAACTATATCATATCATACTATATCAGAACATCAACAAGTGAATATATTTTTTTCTAATACATCTACTGTATATCTCCCTTTATTGCATCTCTACTTTTTGGGGTTTCATGGGGCTATAATGCAAAGTATTTTTTGCAAAGCACTTGTTTTTATATTAGGCTGAATTATTTGTAATTTGCCATAACATCATAATCATGCTGTTGGGAGAATTGAGATTTACCATGGACAGTTGCTCCATCATTAGGACTTAAGAAGCCATCCCCTTTGACTTTGATTCTTCTCATGATGCCCCCGTCATCTGTCAACAATTCTCCCTCAAAGTTCAGCAGCTCCATCTGTTGAAGCATATTTATAATTGAGTATGATATGCACCAATTCAATTGAGCAACCCAAACTGAGCTGTTTCACAAATTACCAATTTCACAACTAATACTTATTATGACCCATTTTTAAAATCACACAACAGTGTAGGAGAACCCATTAAAACCACTGCAAATTCGATGTCACTTAATAAGATTTTTTTTTTAAAAGGTCCTATTTTATGTTAAATTGACTCTTGTCAGCTTTAAGTCATGTTGTAATGCTGTTACCTCCCCAAAAACAGACCTGTTGTGTTGTGTTTGGTTTCATTCACACATGTTTGAGTTACCCTTTATTATTAATTTAACAGCTACCTTTTGCTTCTTGTTCAATAGAGATTGGCAATTCCAAGACTTCACATGATTCTAGTGAAGGTACATGGAGTTTAAGAACATAGTGGAGTGCTTCCTGAATCACCACATGATATCACAAGAAGAACTCAGCCTAAATTTGTATGTAATGCTTTCAACATTTCCATAGTCAAGCAAATGGTTAGTGGCATAACTTTTCTACAACAACCTTGAGGCATTTTAAAATACTGTATATTCAATCATTCCATGCAGTTAAACAATATTTGCGTAAGCTTCACCGGAGCAGAACATTGAAGATGTTATGTGCTCTTTCCCACCCTTTTGAACAGCCATAATTAGAAGAGTACATCGTGTAACAATAATTATAAGTATTCAATTTCTCTATGATGTAATATTGTGATGAATCAAAACAGACAAGATACAGATCATGACTCATAGCTGCATAACACGCACATATGTTACGACAGCAAACTGACTAGTAACACAGACAAGCGCTTATAAAAAAAAATGACTGATGAAAGGTGAAAATATAACTCAATGATTTATATTGTGCATTACATTCCTGGAGTGAGATATTTCATATCAAAATGCCCAAAATTTGACTAAAAATGCTGATATTAGGACTATGCATTATTTACACAAGGGAAATGGGAATTTAAATGAATGAAAGGACGCAATTTAAATTCAGGATATTAATCTTAGTTTCTAGTAACTAGTAAATAGTCAATTTTTTAAAAAAGTAACTTAATATAAGTATAAGGACTTCATTATTAATTTCACATATACTGCTCAAAAAAAAATTAAGAACACTTTGAAAACACATCAGATCTCAATGTGAAAAAAAAAAAAGTTGGATATCTATACAAATATGGACAGGGCAATGTTTTAGGAACAAAAGAATGCCATCTCTTTTAATGGAAAGAACATTTTCAGCCTACAGAGGGATTCATTTTATAGACACCCTGGAAATCAAAGTAAAATGATGTGGCAGGCTAGCCTAAAATTTGCCAAAAATGTTATTTCTGCAACTCAAAATGCTTCTCAATCTCTTGTGTGGCCCCCACATGCTAGTATGCATGTTTGACAATCTTGTGACATGCTCCTAATGAGACAATGGATGGAGTTTGTGGGATGTCCTCCCATATCTGTGTAAGGACATCACTGAGCTCTTGTAGAGTCTGAGGAGCAACATGGTGGTGTCTGATGGACCCAAACATATTGTCCCAGAGGTGTGCTATCAGGTTTAATTCAGATGATCATGAGGGCCATTCAAATGTATTAATCCCTTCATCTTCCATGTACTGCCTGCATACTCTTGCCACACGAGGTCAGCATTGTCATGCATCAGGGGGAACCCATAACTAAGGACAGCCAGACTGCCGTTTTGTAGCCAGCAGCCTCCCCAGACCCACTGACCCACCACCAAACCACTCATGCTAAACCATGTTGCAGGCAGCATAGCATTTTCCTTGTCTTCTCCAGACTCTTTCATGTCAATCACAGGTGCTGAGGGTAAACCTGCTCTCATCTGTGCACAGGACACCAGTGGTGGACTTGCCTATTCTGGTGTCATCTAGCAAATACCAATGGAGAGCCACGGTGTTGGGTGAGCACAGAGACCACTATAGGACATGGTGCCTTCAAGCCACCCTCATTAAATCTGATTCCACAAAGGAGCAGATATGGGTCCTGCTGGTGGGTTGAGGCCCTTCTACAGCCCTGTCCAGCTCTCCTAGAGTAACTGCCTGTCTCCTGAAATCTCATCCATGTTCTGCAGATCAAATCTCCTTCTCCCGGATGGCACATCCTTAACCCTACAGAAGTTAGAAAATCTGTGCAACTTCTGTAGGGTTATGGAATCACCTCATATTCCCAAAAGTGATACTCACTCTAGCCAAAGCCAGCACTAAAATACCAAGAGGGGGAAACTTGAAATGCAAAACCAGTCCTGTTTTAAGGGTTTTCTTATTGTTGCCACTCTAGTGGATCTATTGTTGTTTCCATTAAAAGAGGTGGCTTTTTGTTCCATTGCCCTGTCCATGTTTGAATATATATCCAACATATTTTTCACATTAAGATCTAATTGGTTTTCAAAATGTTCCTTTAATTTTTTGAGCAATGGACCACATTTGTAGACCCACAGCATTTAAAGTCTAAATGGCAATGCATGGGAAAATGTATCTACCTCAAAAATGACAGTGGAGTTGGGAGGGATCTTGTCTGGATTACCAGCACATCCATAGGCGTATTCAGGCTTACACAATAACATGCACACCTCTCCTCTCTGCATAGACAACACTCCGATGTCCCACGCCTTTAGCACTTGGCCTGAAAGAGAAAAACAATATAAAAGATATTATTAAGTCTAGCTCTTAAATGAGAGGAGGCAGCTAAAAGCAAAGTATTGCCTTGTATCAGCAAATCTCCACAGAGGGTTTTGTGCATACATAGAGATAGAATGTAGTTTTAATAATCAGAATACTGTATTTAATCCACTACCACTACCTGCTTCTTATGGTGATGTTATTGCTTTATCTGGAGTGTTTCACAATAACTTTCTTGCATTTATTGAATCACAGATGATACTATTGCTAAAAAAGACCCTTGAAAAAACATGATATGGGTCACCTATCCACAGATCTAACTTGTAACTTGGCCTGTCTGTGCCACCTGCTTTTCTTCAGGGAGACAGATGAGTTTAAGGCCATACTGTGGAAAGTGAAATGTTTTATAATGTACTATATAGCTCGCAATAGTGAATAGGTGTGCCATGAACGCTGTAGTAACTTTTATATTCATCTCATAATAAGCAGGTCAGAACAAAATCAGGTCAGGGTCAAACAATTAGACCACTTGTATATATTAAACAATGAAAAAACTATTTTAGTAAGAATTTCTATGGCTAATTACTGGTTCATTCTACAATTTATTTGTTGCAACTCATGTCTTTAAATTACACTGCCAACTGATTGTTTACTGAGATAATCATGATTTATTGCTTTATTGCTTAAGTGTCAGTGGCATAAAGTAGTTTCAATATTATCATTCAGCATTATTTTTCTCTGTAGCAATATATATTGTGCTTCAAAATTTGTTATCATGACAGACTTACTTGAGTACAAATTTGTAGTATTCTTTTTACTACTGTGTACCCACAAAAATATTGTAACAATCAATATGAACTGCACAAAATATTTGACATAGAAACAAAATCTAATTAAACACTTTATATTCTAAACCTTTCATGTGCTCACTACTAACTTAACTAAATGAAGTTAACTGTAGATAAACGATAAAGCTATGCAGGCAAAGGAATGCTGTTAGGAGCAGATGCAATGCCTCTCCATATTAAATACTCAAAAGGTTATACAGTACATATATCACACTATGATGATGAAAATACAGGAACATTAATATTTTGCAAAGCGCTCACATACCTTTTCCCACATTGAAGCTAAAAGATTCTTTGCGCTCTCGGCTGCTGTCAAAGGTTTTCCCGCTGAGTAATTTCCCCGTGTAATGTACAGTTACTTTGTCTCCGATCATAGGCCGCTCGCCATTCTGTCCCTGGCGCTTCACAACCTGAAAACATCATTACAGGGAGAAAATTATTAATAATTCATTCACATTTAGGGTGCATTCACACATTTGGTCCAAGTTTACTGGTCTAAGGAATGGTTGATATAGTAGTTTTTTATATTCAGTTATCACAATTTTTATTAAATTTTTTTCTCATCTCAATATTAAGCCTTTAGACTGTCTAATCTGTGACACAAGAAATAGGCCAGCATATGCTGTCTGTCTGAACTCTGTTCCAAAATAAATGTTTTGGGTTTTTTTTCTGACAAAGGACTGGCTGCAGAACTTTCTATGGTAAAAAAAATATATATATACTTTATCAATTGGATTAATTGCATGTGCCCTTGAATGAAATGAAAATTCTACTACCCAGGTCAAAATAAACAGAACTTTCCCTACAGAATATCCAAAATTATATTCCTTATGAACTATTACTCAAGTATTTAGAATGTCCACTTTTGAATAATAATTACCTTGATAAGTCCTTGGTCTTTCTTCTGTGTTATATCAATGCCCTTTGACACAAATGTTGCCGGTACAGCCTGACTGTCCAACGGTAAATCCTGGTCAGTAGTCATCTTTACCGAATAGATTTTTCACTTTTAGACTGAAAAACAAAAATTCACAAACACTTTATTCCAGCAGATGGTAAAGCAATATTGTATAATCTTATTTGTGGAGGTGGCAGGAAAGTCACGATCTAGTAAAGATTTTTATAACAACTTTATGTAAGATTCTATTTAGGGGGACCTACTAAATTGACACAGATTCACAGGAACCTTGAGTCCATATAAACAAACAAACAAACAAAAAAAAAAAAAAACATTATCTTTTTTTTTTTTTTTTATAAAGCCATGGTTATCTAAATCTGATGTAACAATCCACAATATAAATTGCTGGGAAAATGGGTTGCAGGATCTTTTGTTCTGTTTTGTTGCCTAGTCTAGTATGCCTCATAACATCAGATTTATGATTATTACGGTAAGTTACAGTAAACAGTAAGTGTGTTTTTTTTCTTCAGTAGGTTTTAAGTGAAAATGCAAAATACAACATGGAACATTCTAGACAAAGCAATAACAGCTCCATGGAAACAAGCAGGTGATGCAACCCCATCAGAAAGCATTCATAGTGCATCTTTAATGCAGGCATTTCAAACAGAACTATGGTTGTGCAAATGATGTTCAAATGTTCTACTAATTACATTTAGTAATAAAGACAATGAATCAAAAAGGTTCTTGTTATGTTTTAAAACTTTACCATAAATGAAACCATGTTTATTGTCCCCAGATGAACCTTAAACCACTTAAGATGTTTCTGTATCAGGCTCCGCTTCCGCATCTGATTTAAAGAACAAAAATATCTTTTATCCTGGTTTAAACACATTATAACCACCAACAGTGGCCTCTCTCCCCCCATCTATGGCTCTGCTCTTGCTTCACCACATAGTAAGGCATACACTGGCATAATGTAGCTGCTAGTAAGTGCAGTCAGAATGCTCCAATAATCTTGACATTGTTTGGAGACAATGCAAAAGCGAGCTTGCTATGTTAAGCATGCTGGCAAACATTATTGGGAGATTATTATCACATGCAACAGCTGAGATGGTAATTCCTGTTGGCATGGATTCAACTACAGCTGTTATATTGTGTGTGGCAGTGTTGTTGAAATGATATATTTGACACTTAACAACTGGCTTCTTAAGTAATAATTACAACAACTAGCTTTTACAGCTAGTTGTTAAAGCTAGTTGTTACCCAACTGAACTAAGCGTTTTATTGGCACCAATGCACATCTGTTTCAAATGATAATAAGACCAATTGGACTTACTTTGGTAATAATAGTTATATTTGTTTTTTAAGGAAAGTTGTCTGCCTAAAAGAAAATAAATATCTAACATATTAAACTTGTTGCAATTTATCAAGCACTATTCTCAAATTCTCTCAAGTCTACTGCAAGTAACTAAAAGTAAATAAAGACAAAAAAAGTCTCAAAATAAAACTACACAAGAAATAATGATATACTTATTTACATAGCTCAAGATCTCTATGTACATCCAATAGTATTCTAGGATACTATGTTCAGATACAAATAGTTCAATGACTGGAGCTTATTGTGCATGTTTGAGGTTGATGGGGTAAACCAGCGTACCCAAAGGAAACCCATCAACAAGAACATGCAAATTCTCCACAGAAATGCCCTATCTGTCCCAAGAATCCTACACCCAGTCATTCACCCACTAAGGAACATAAACTGCAATATAAACAGCTTGTTTAAGCCATAAACTAAGTCATCAGTACATTACAGTATAAGACTTTGAGTTAAAGCATATTACACTGAGTGGTGATTATTTTCATATTTTTATCTGTTGCTTAAAATGATAAAATTAAACCTTTTATGTAAATCTAACTCCATTATGAGAAATGTATATTTATTTATTTTTTCCTGATTTATAGCCTCCATTAAGGAGAAAGAAGAGTGTACTGCAGTAACGTGAGTAGTCCCAGGTCTCGCTGTGTACTGATGACTGGAGACTTTGTTCAAGGACAGAATGTGCAAAAGAAAAAGCACCTTTGTATCATTCGTTTCATCCCCTCCAGACACTATTTCCAATCAGCAAATAAAATTCAAAGATGTCTTAAGTGTTACTCAACAATCCAATTCCTTGAAATCATCACCCGCACATTAGAGGTTCCCAGTATAAAAACCCAACATGAGGTAATATGTTGATGTCATTTTCATATTGGTAAGATGAATAAAAGCTTTTTCGAGATGTGTTCCTATCCTGTTCAGGTTAATAGGTTGAGTGAGTCCACCTGATACGTCCACAAGCTGTTCCCGGTTCAGTTTGTCACTCTGTCAGATCAACTGTTCCCAGTCTAAGCTTCTCAACAAAAGGCACAGTACAAAATGTCCATGTCTTCTTCACTGTGGGGGCCACCTCTCCCTCTCATCTTGTAGATTACTCTCTCTTTCTCTGCTTTTTTTTTTTTTTTAGATGTAACGTGTGTCACCGTGTACCTAAACATCACTGGACACAATGTTCCCGCATGTCATGGTTTCCAGCTGGCAAGGACTAATTATATCAATATGGGGACATTTTACGTACAGTTTGTTATTCAGGGTTTTTTGTTTACTGTGACTGCTGAGTTTAACAAAATACAATGTTCTACAGAAACTGGCATATAATGAATTTAAAACGGCTTAAATTCAAAAGAGACTGTACCAGTATTGATTGTGCCAGCAAAAAACTTGTGTCTTTTTACTCTTTTATTCAGATTTTGCCTTCTGGGGGCATCTTCTCCCTCCTACGATGCAATGATTGGCAATTTGGCAAATTAAGTTGGTTATGTATATAACTTAATACAATCCTCTCCTTTCACAAGCTTGGAAGAGGAACACAGACTACTTTTCTAGTGGTAATAACCATTCTGTATCTTTCATAGAAATGAGTTGCATTGCATTCAAGTTTATAAACAGAACTGAATTAGCATATTACTCTTTTCCAAGGTTCATCCCAGGTACAAAAGATTAAATACTAAAGAAAAAATGTCTTCACTGTAAATTATTAAATACATTTCTCTGATAAACACTTTTCATTATAAATCAAGCGATTGTTGTATTCCTTTCGCATTAATTATCAACTCAATTTATCTAGGCTTGGGAGCGGCTCAAACACCGGATTAGTAACAAATTTAGAATCATGATTTGTTTCAATGGATTCTAAAAGTTTCCATACCAAACTGAGCTGCAAATGTTGCTATTTTTAATTAGATATAAAATAAGTGAACCTGTGTAAAAAAACAAAAAAAAAACAAAACAAAAAAAAACTCTTGTTCTGGGAATAAAGCGCCCCAGATAAGCCAGCATGTAGCTCTACTGTGATACCCTTTTGAGGAATGCAGGAACACAATGAGCTGAAGACCACGGCAGCTCAGCACACGGTGTATCAGTACATTCTGTCTCCCGGCCGCAGCTGATTCATATATGCACATGTGAGCTAGAACGCACGGTTTTAAAGGCATCCTACAGCACTCTGACATAACCGGCATTTAGAGCCTAGAGGGTTCCTGTCTACTGCATGGAAACAAATTATGATGTTGGCTGTTTTAGATTTAGGGAATTAAATGTAACAGCAAACTGGCCTCTGGAACGTCTCTGGGCTGTCCAAATGTGTTAGCAAGTTATCAAAGTTGACTGTAGGTAGGAAACTGACTAGGATACTGATTATTTGATGAATGTTTGTCTTTTTGTTCTTTATTGGAATCTCAGTAAAGTATGAATCACCCCAGGGACGTTCTGAACCCATATCCAATATCAAAGTGTCATTTCCCCCATAATTTAACGTAAGCTTTGTGCACAACTGTCCACATAATTTAGTTCACATAATTATATTGTGAGTGTACATATGTTTATCTCTCAGAAGTCTCCACACCAGTAAACCATGGACCGGTTCTATTAACCCAGTTATAAAAGCCTACTTATGCAAACATTTTCTATATGTGCACGTACACGTCATTTTCTATATGTACACATTCGCTTGGAGAAACTTGCTCACCATGTTGTAGCCTACTTTGAATGAAAAATCACCCACATAAACAAAACGCACATGTATTGTTATCAGCCCGTATTTAACTCTACAGTGGTGGCTGGTAACAGCTGTAACCTAAATATGTACCTGCACGTGCGGCACATAGAGCCATAGTAAGCGCATCACAAAGCGAGCAACAACATAAATGCAAGTATTGGCAATAGCAAATAGTGGAGCCTATTTAAACTTATATTTTCTTTCTATTTGCCTACTTCTCACGTAATGATAAAAAAGGCAAATGAGTTAAAGCCTTTATAAAACAAAGTAGGCAAATTCAACAAATATACACATGCACAATGTTAAAATATAACTTACATTTTGTTTAGTTCTCAGCGTTCAAGCGTCCGAGAGATGTCTATGGTACCGGCTTCTCGTGCGCTCGAAGCGCGCGTGAGTTCACTGAAATCCAGGGTACTAAATGTTCTGCACATGTGTAAAACGGCCCATATCTCCTTTACGCCGTATCCTTGATCCTTGCGTACGTAAGCAGCGGTAGCAGTAGGCACGGATAGGCTTGGGTGAGGTAAACGTGCCGGTGTGGTGACCACATTGAGCTCAGAGTTTAAAATGCCACAGCTATAGTAAAGCAGTGGAGCCACACATGAGAGGGACAGAGGGAGGGAGGAGAGAGGAGTTGTGGGAGGGCGTTTAGAGTAAAATTAAGGGCAGGTCTTGGAAAGCAGCCACTAAGTAACACAATGTTCCGGCTGTACTGTAGCTGTACCGCCGCCGCTGATGAGAACACTTTGTACCAATACACACGCAGCCTGACCCTGCTGTAACCCATTCCGTGCCAGACCGAGCCGGGAACAGCGTGTACCGCGGCTGGCTGTCCTTTCCGACCAGCTGACTACACATATCACCAAGAACACCGTGTGCGCGTGTGTTTTAGACTAGAGAGAGCAAGGCGCAGAGACGGGACAGGACCAGGCACCGAGCGTGGACCAGAACTCACCGAGATAAAAGCGCTTATTGCGCTGTTATAAAGCCGCGGGATAATGGATACCAATAAACGAGAGATATAGATTAAAACTTGACGCTTAACACCGGCTTGTTAGCCAATTTACCGGAGATGTTATTCTTTATAAGCAAATGCCTTTCGGCTGCTAGAACTTATTTGAACTTGAAGGTAGGGATTTCGACATCTCGGCTATTTAAGGATACCAACTGCTCTATTGATTATTGTTTATGCTAGAGTCAGAGAAATTTAGGCTAAATAGAAAGTTAGGTTTATGTCATTCAGACATTTTGCTGTTTATTTCATTTATCTGTTAAAGCTAAATGCATGTTTGATGATCGATAGCCTAGTTAATCTTATATCTTATCATCGCTTTCTAAAATGTACCGCTGGATGGAAGTGATAGGTCTAATTTTGCCTGGTAAAATCCAAACTCAACGCTGAACCAGCGTCAGATATTGATTTATATTTTAATAAGAAATATGCCAAAAGAAAATCTATAGGCCTACATATAGCCTACCTTGTTTGACAGCATCAACAACAGCCTGACAGCTGTCCCCATATCAAGCCTATAGGCGATTAGGCTATAGACATATGCGATGTTGGGATGTCACCTGAAACCCAGCAATATCTTTGCTATATTTTCCAGTTTAAATCATATATTAGCCTTATAATTTCTAGTGTGTTGAAAGCAAGGCTGACCTCAGCCTACAGCCTACATTTACTAATCTTTAAAGCTGTTAAAAATTAAATATAAGCTGCAATTTACAGATTTACACTGAATGGACTATGTGATATTAAGTAAATCTTTATCCTGATGATAAATGCATGTCTGCTCTGACAGCCTATGTTTAGGATGCTTTTATACTGTTATTATATTTGCAGTCTTCTGAACTACCAACATGTTTTTTGCTGTTTTACATAAAATATAGGCCTGTAGATAGTAAAATATCAGTGTGATATGTTCAAACCCATGCCACTTATGACATGAAATGCAAAAAAGAAATAGATTGAAGCTGCCAGTAGTTAGGTATGCAATAAAACTTGCTGGAACCAACTTGTTTAATGCTCACTCATATTGTATGCTGCTATACTACAGTGCTGCAAGCATGAAGTGTTCTTTTTTGATTCTGCAAATGTAATGGCTTCCAGTTTTACTGGTGTGCAGAATGTTCTTGTCCTTAAGTTGATCTCACTGCAATAAAGAGCTTTTCATAGCTTATTTATTTATGTTTTGATTTGCTTTGGTTCTTAATCTTTATTGGTTATTTTCAGATTCAAGATATGATGTCACTCTCACACTTGTATTTATCAAAATATTGAAAAGGAAATGCACAAATGATTAACCAATGGTGTTTACATTATTAATCCGCTACAGCTCAAATATGCACATTAACAGAATCAAATTTACCCTGCCTACTTAAAGAGTAATACTCATACTTAATAGTATTAGTTGTATAGATTGAAATGCCACAGTTGATGCTTTAGTGCTTGTCATATTCCTTACAGACTTTAGGACAACATTTGGCCTCACACTGATGGCAGACAGCCAGCAGCAAGCGAAAGGGAACACAATGATCTTGTTAATAATAAAGGTGACATAATGTGCGTGAACCTGGCTCAGCATGCCTAGGGGAATGCTGTTCAAACCCAATGTTATGTTCAGAAGATTAAGAAAAGAAAATCTTGCACATTTGCAATGTGTTATTATACTAACATTATAAAACTTGTAAAAATGCAAAAAATGCAACTTTTAAACATAATTGATTACTGAAACTCAGTCTCCTTCTCCACCATTTCCACATAAAAACAATGATATAGAATAATACAATTTATATTATATATCAAATGTAAAGATCAAGATTGTTCATATCAACACCTGCTTAAATTGGCTTACTAGTTTTATTAGTATCTAGGTATTGATTACTTTGACAGCTGCATTTGGAATCATAGCTTAAAGTCAGTGAGGACAATGCTTTTATTTTGTGATTTACATCCAGATATTGTCCATCACAGTGTAGAGCATCCCTAAATAATAAGTGGTTTAAATACCTTCTGAGAACAGTGTGCACTTTGCAGCCTTACTCTAGAGATGTGTTTGTTTTCACAGACTTGCTGCGGTGTCCTCATTTGGCTGCTTCCTCTTGTGTACACGCAGAGGATGAAATTACAAGAAATAAAAACGATTGTTAGAAAAAGTGTCGCTACTCATGGGGGTCAACTGAGGATACATTTTTGAGCACTGATCATTTTTAGATTTCATAATCATAGTCAGCATAATCAGTCACTGTACTGCACAGAGAAGGCATTCATGTTATTTAAGGGTATAAACTGAACTTTCCAACTTTGATACCATTAAATTTTGTTACTTATCCAAAGAATGTTTTGCTGCAGATGCCAAAGAAAATGCCAGAGAAATTATTTGTTTTGGATTTAAATGCTTAATATGTTTTGGATAGACATATTTGCATAACTACAAATGCAATGTGTACCCTAATTATATGCCCAAATATATACAAATGACATGCTTTACAAAAGCAGACTTATAATCATGGTGGGGATTCACCACAGGCTTGTCTCCATCAAGTGACTGTTTTGTCTGGAATCATCCACAATATGGAATTAAATGAATCTTGCATATATTCAATTAGTTTTTTGTGTGTTTGTTTTTTTGTAAAAGCATGCATTCTCACTGTGAAATGTGAGCAATTTGCTATAGTCATTTTGATAAATTACATGCTGTACATATCAAGACTTGCGGAGGACAATGGCGTTAAGGGTGTCCTCAGTTCACCCTGGTAGAGAGTATTTGATATTCAGTTCATGTTCTTCTTTGCACAAGAACTGAATTTAGTGTGCAGTCTATGCCCACTTCAATACTTCAATAGCGTTGTTTTCCACCAAATGTCTATTTAATTTTGTTGTAGGCTTATTAAGTACTATGTAATGCTACTGTAAGGTTTTATTTTTTTCTCCAAACTAGCGTTATTATTCATGAGTGTTTTCAGTAGTTTTGTTCAATATTTGGGCGGTTTCTACAGAACTATTTCGTAAAACAGACCTAATTCAATATAGAAGGGTTTAGCTTTTAACATTATAACAAATTATTGGATCACTAGCAAGCAACATTTAGCATGTTTAAATCCATGCACAAAATAGTCTTTCATTATAGAACAAATATCCTGTCCTGTTTTTTTTTTTTTTATGTGTAATCAAATTTATTGCACATTAATTTATTACACATTAAATAGAAGGTTTGTCTTTTACTATGACAATAAACAGACATGCCATTTGGAAGACAATACAAGTACTGGTAAGAAATCTGGTCATGTTGACCTATCCATGGTTTTCAAAATTAAACCCTTATCATAGCATTAAAACAAAATCTCATACTTTTGAATGGTGAAAAGTCCTCAAAACATTGCTCATAATTCAGAGGTGAAAGTTTATAAATATGTTAAATTGCTTTACATACAACATCATTTTTCATCATTTGCTATGTCAACAACATCCATGCTGTTTGGGAGTCGTGACTCACTGTTTTGTGCTGAGTTCTGTCTGGCAAGCTAGTCTTCCCTGTGTGAATGAGTGTCAGTGTGTAAGCAGCACGTGGGACGGGTTCACTCAGGGATACAGCAGCCTGCGCCGTCATCAGGAAGTCAAACAGAACAGAATGTGCTGTACTAATCTGATTGAAAAACACACTGCCCTCAACTGTGACTACGAGAGGAAATAGATGTTTCAAATCAGCGGCTAAAAAGAGGATCCTCTGACAGCAGAAACAGAGAGAGTAGACAACTATTTAGTTCTTTTATGAGAAGATAGCATGTACCAGTGAGTATAAGATAGACTGGGAAAGGGGGGTTGGGTGTTCAAACATGGCGATCAAAATAAGACTGGGGAACATAATGCTCTTTGTTTGTGTCCTATAGGTGCATGACAGTAATCTTCCCAGTGACTCCTGTACCTTGCACTATAGTACTAGCTCAAAATGTATGCAGTAAAGTTTAATGATATAAAACAAAAATGTAATGTAATAAATAAATAAATAAATAACTTTATATATAAAATACTATATGGGTCAGAGTCTGATGAGATTGTATAGACTATGTATCTTATATATGCTTAAAAATAAAACTGTGTTATGTAACTGAAGCCTGTCTCTATTTGTATTTTTGATTTTTGATTTGTTGTATATTGGTTTGTTTTCATACCTTGTGTTAAACTTTATTAATCTGTAATTGTGTAGTCACAGAAACTTGCCTATACATATAAATTAATGTTTTTATCACAACACCATTCAGTGATTGGTTTACCACTAATTTATAGCCCATGCATTGTGCACCTGGTGACCTGTTAATAAAAGAACCGGTGCTGAAGTGAACATCAAGCAATATGAAGTGGGTCAGACAAAAAGTAAATTAAAACTTGCTGTAGAGGTGAGAAAAATAAATGTATATATATATTTTTTTTAATTACCCACATTGTTACACAGCAGTACAGTTCAGTTAATCCAGAATCCTGCCTAGTATTAATACATCTTCAAATAGCAAAAATATTCCCACAATACTTTCTCTGAACTCTCTGAGACAAATTCATTTTACATAGCAATTAAAGGTCAAAGTGTTAAACATAAAGTTTATTCTAAATGACAATCCATAATCCACAAATTTAATTTAGTTTTGTCTAAGAGGAGTGACTATGCAGCATGTTAAAAAACATATTTAAATTCCTTTTATGCCGTTCATGCCCAAAGATGCCTATCAAGAGATCTATTTCAAAAAACAAATTGTGGTGTGTGGCTCACACGGTGAAAATAAAACTATACAAACATAGTTTTATGGCCCTTGAACAGTACAGTATATGTTTCATAAACATTATTACCTACACCACCTACCTACCCATCAGGTGTAAACTCATGTGCTAGTAATAATCAAGTTAACAAATGTTCTCAGAAAAAAGGGAAAAAAAAGACAGAAACGTTTAAAGAAAAAAAGATTTGCCTAATGAAATCATCCTTAGCCCTAAACTACTTTGCATCGCTGAAATCAAAAGTTACTGATGCTTGTTCAGTGTATTTTGGGGGGATCCAAGCCTTGCCTAATTTGATGTAAATAAAGTAAACATAAACAAAATGTATATCTTACCAGTGATATCCTATTTCAGCCAAGATGACGAAAAGTAAAATCAGACAATATTATTCGTTAAACAGAACAGATAAGAACATTTGAAGTACCTATCTCCATGGTGATTAGCCTTTATTGTATCTCACTAGGGTTAGTATACCTGCCCAGATTTTTTAATGCCCAGTTTGTTTTTCATGTGGAGCCATAGCTTACTCCTGTACACTAGGTGGGGCACTAAGCACGAAAAATACTTGAACTCCTCCTCAGCCCCCACCCGGTGACGCAAATCGTGTTAGCTCCAAATGCTAACACCTGAATGATATCTACGCGTATTGGTGCTGTAAAGAACTACTGGCCACAAGGTACGCATTTTAAGACAGAATACAATGTTTTCTACACTTACTGTGCGCTACACATTTATATACACTCACTTTTGTTGAAGAAAATGTTTTTGGAACCATCTTTAGCTTGCCTAGCTTGCATTTCGCTCTTGTAGCTGTTTATGTAGTTACCATTTAATTTTTCCTCGTCTCTAATCAAACATAACGTTACACCAGTTAAACGGTTAAATGTAATACATGTTAAAAGTTAAAATTACCCAAATATAAGCTTTTATTAGTTTAAAATCTACATAGACATTTGACACAGAACAGAATCAGTTTTTTTTTTTTAAGTAAATGAGAATGCCACATTAAGCGCATAAGTGTTGTTCAGTAAATAAGTGTGTTTTATTTATTTCTCAGCAAACTTTGTGACAGTCTATATTAAATCTGAACTTGTTCTGTTTTGCATTGCTTTTTAGTAAATAATCGTTGGCTTCTTATCAAGAATAATTAGATCCTGAAAATGGGAGGTAAGACGAATGTTAAAATTTGATAAGTCTGTGCTTTTTTATTTTAGGACTTGGACTGAAACTTTTCTCATTAATATTGAATAAATTATGGGTATCATATGAAGTGACAAAATATGGCCATTATCACGCTGAATAGATTCAAGTTTGTTTTGTATTCTCTTCTATAGATCCTGCTCTCCACAGGGACTGTCCCCTTGATTGCAAGGTTTATGTTGGAAATTTGGGAAACAATGGAAACAAGACTGAACTTGAGAGAGCGTTTGGGTACTATGGTCCTCTGAGAAGTGTGTGGGTCGCCAGGAATCCACCTGGCTTTGCTTTTGTAGAGTTTGAAGATCCCAGAGATGCTTCTGATGCTGTGAGGGAACTGGATGGGAGGTAATTTGTTAAAAACATTGTTTGTTTTCTATGGAGCTCAAAATTAAACCTTACAATACAGATGTGCAAAATGTCCATTGTAAAAAGTAAAAAAAAATGCTACTTTTAATAAGGAGCTGTGTGGTAAATGCATTTTCCTCACTAGAGTCACTTTTGAAAAAAAGTTTATTATTTAAGATGTTCAAATGTCCTTTGATTTAACACTGATTAAAATTATCAGGACTGTGTCATCGCTCCTCATCGAATGGTGTTCTATTTACATCTTAGCTTAAATGTATTCTGACACTATTGTATGTACCATTGCACGTTGTGGTGTAGCACTGAAGAAGAGTCCATGTCTTCTTTCTTTAGTCAAAATAATATAAAATGTAAAGTATCACTGCATGTTTTGCACGCTTGCAACAAACAAGGCAGATTTGAAAATATACTTTTTAATTTTGCCTTAATCGGATAATAGGATCTTACTGGGTTTTGCAGGACCATGTGTGGCTGTCGTGTGCGTGTAGAATTGTCTACCGGAGAGAAGCGTTCGAGGAGTCGTGCCCCACCACCGTCATGGGGCAGGCGGCCTCGGGATGACTTCAGGAGGCGGAGTCCTCCAGTCAGGCGTCGGTATGTATTCCCCTTTTTCGTGCTAATCTGATAATAATCTATAAATCTCTTTAAACCTATATCCAACTGACAGTGAGAATGGCAATTTTCAACAGGGGTGACGTTTGGTGATTGATGTATTGGTAACTTGTCACTCCATTGTTTTTTATTTTTACTATACTGTCATATTCTTTTAAAAAATGACATTAGTAAAGTTAATGTAATATAGCAGTTTTAAAAATATATTTATAGATGCTTCCTTTTAGTTGTACATTTTGTTACCAAGTTCAGTTGGCATTATATTAATAAAGTGAACCCCGTTGCAGAGTCACCACGCTTCTCACCATCTGAGTCAATCAACTAGCCCTCTTTCAGCATCATTGACTGCTGAGCAGCGAGCCCTCTCAGCTTGGCTGGTGTTGTCACATGACCAAGGCGCCAGCCGTCAGGTCCCACCAACTAATGGTTCCTGAGCATGCAGCTCCTCCCCAGCATCCTCCTCCTCTTCTCAACTCTTATTCAGTCGCCAGTGGTCCACTTGACACTGTCAGCCAATCAGCGCCTTTACTTATCTTATCTCCAAACAACTTCAGTATCAACGGGAACAGCCCTTGGCTTACATCCCTCCCCAAAAACAACATTCAACAAACCACCAAGCAACTTCATTTCAGCATTTGCATCATGTGGCAAATCCTCTCTGCAATTTGACCTCCCTCTCCATCAGTCTGGCTTCTTTCCGTCATTTCTTTCTTGCCCAAACCCCCCCAAATAGTAAGTTGCTTTTATCCTGCTTTTTGTAGTTTGTCCTTGATGTAGCATTCAGTGCTGCCTTATAACTGTATCTCAGCAGTTATAGGCCAGTATTCTTACAGAATTATTACGGTCCTGCAGAAATCTGAACGGCCAAAACGATTTTTATTGTGAAGAAAAAATCAATTCCCATTGGTCCTCAAAAAAACTTGGCACAACATGGAGTCAGTTATAAATTATTAGATTTTTTTCCAGCTCTAAAACTGACAGAAGGCTATGTATTACTGAAGACATACTAGACATACTAGATGATCAACCTCTCTTAATATTTTGATTACAGTCCTAAATGTGGCTGCAGAATTGGTGTTCGGATCCCCATTAAACATATTTTGAGGGGCTCAAACCGATAATTCTTTATAACCGACCTGTTGCCACATTTCAACACCTAACCTAATCCCTTTGCAGGTGGCTTTTAGTTGCATATTTTATTTAACTTTTTCCCCACCATTTTTACATTCACATCTTAGATCACCGAGGAGGAGGAGCGGCAGTCGTAGCCGTAGCCGGTAAGTTGAATAAAGTTTATACATGTCCTCACTAATTACCAGGGTGTATTTAGTTATACAGTATGGTTTGTTTTCTAACAGGTCTCTGTCAAGGGAAAGGCGCAGATATCGTTCTTTGTCCAGGGAAAAGCCCCGCAAGCGCTCAAGGTCTCTCTCTAGGTCCAGGAGGTATTTAATGTTCTGTTACAATTGCAGATGGATTACTTATTTGTGTGGGAGAATTTTTGTTGTCTGTCTGCTCAGCATGTACAATCGCAAAGACTTAACTGTTTCATATATTTCATTTGTATTTTATTTACAGTCGTTCCAGGTCTTTTGAGAGGAAATGAAGATGTGAGCTATCTGCTGGATTGTGCTATGGTCAAAAAAGACATTTCAGTTGGTATTTTAATTTTCTTCACTTTTTAAACAACACAGTGTTGTTCATAACATACAATCCCCTAACTTCACAAAAAAGAAAGACTTTTGTGTGTCAGACAGTGCATGCTGTGACCTAGATACTATTTTACATATTTTTAACTGTTCATTAAAGTTTTTGTAAAGTTTGGATTTTATGTTGCTTTGCTCATGTTCACTCCTGTTACTGGCTGTTGGTTTAGATAAAGATGTCCGGACATTCTGTACATTTATGGTCTGTTGTTTTATAGGTTTCTCAGAAACACTTTTATCCACATTATGTACATTTTCAAAATGATGGTTAGAGAATCGAATCCCATGTAGCCACTTTGTCAATAAATGGCTTTCAAATGTGTTTTTTGTTTGTTTGTTTTTTGCCTCTGTGCTTTGTCTTAAGTGTAATTAACACTGGTTAAGCCAAAGTTTATGGTTTTGTAGTGTCTAAATCATAGACTGTATGGTTTATTTGCATTGGAGTAATTCTGCACATTTCTCAGGAGTCAGCTTGTCAGCCTGCTGAGACAACCTGTCAGTGGGCATTGGGCAACATTCTAAACTGAATTTCAAACTGTTGTCCCAATATATGTTGATGTTAGGTTAATAAAGGAGAAAATAATGATCATAATGGTACGTTTTATGAATTAATTCATAAACATTTTTGCTTTCAATCAAAAGCAGAAACTTGCGCAGAGGATGTCTAAATTAAGAACCAAAATATTCGGATGTTTTTAAAATAGTTAAGTTGTTTGCACACCACTTGTGGGAATACATGATATCAAATCATGTGATGTAATGTGATCCCTGTTGAAAGATTGCCCAAGTAAATTCATTGGAAACATTCAAAAATTATCTCTCTTCTTCAACAAACATTTACACAACTTCGATTACTTTGAACTGCAAACATAACTTGTGAGTATGATTTAGAGGAAGCGTGGTGGTGCCTATTAAGAGACAACTGGAAGCGTAACTCGAACAGGAAGCTGCGAGTGGTGTTGCAGAAACTTCACTTCGGTCTCACGAGTTGAGCAGTCAGTTTAAAGTGACAGTATAAAGTCCTCACGCGGGAGACAGCAGCTCAGCCAGAGCAGAGGGGTAAGTGAACATTATGTACTCTGGAAATGCCACTGAAAATGTATGCTATAGGGGCAAGTATGTTGGTCTGCTGTGTTAAAAGAACAAGTTAAATGTCTTAGAGCAACACTTATTTAAAAACTGCAATCCTACCAAGTAAAGCAAAAAGAATGTGAACAAATTAAAGCGTTAACCTACCTCTCTACCGTTCTAAAGAGCCCTACTTTGGTAAAAAAAAAAAAAAAAAAAAAGATAAATAGATATGGCATTGCAGAAACGATACTTCAAGCCCATTAATAAAGAAAGTAGTACTTAATACATTATACACATTATTGCGCGCGCGTGCACACGCACACACAATCTGATTAAATCGTTTTAGCCTCTATCAAACTGATACGCAGGTATTTATACCGGTTATTTTTTCTGCTGAAAAATAATGCTCTTAGTTTTTGCAGTTGACGAGACTTTAATAGTTAACCCCCATAAGCTGCTGTTGCGTAACTGAATGTAAACTTACTGACAATGCATGGCTAAATGTATTTTGCTCTAGGGGAGAAGACTAAAGTCATGTCTGCTTCAAAGAAAAAACGTATGGGCTCTCAACGCCGCTCTCTAAATCCAAATGTACAAGAATCTCCAGAGACCAGCGATACTGCAAAGAGTCCACCTTTACCCCAAAGTAGACAAAGAGCGGATGCAATGACTGATTTAACTTTGAATCCTGGCAGTACGGAATCAGATCCACCTATGAGGAAGAAAAAGTTGGGCTCTCAACGTGGAAATAAAGGGAAACTGCATTTTAAGGAATTGGATGTTACTACGGAGTCAAGCGACAAACCATTTGAGGAAGTGGAGGGCACTACTACACATTCACAGGCTCTGGACTATTTAGGCATTCAAAATGAAAGCATTGATGAATCACTTGAAAGAAATCCTACTGAAGGGAGTGAGGCAGTTGATGAATCTTCAGTTGCTACTATATCAGCATTAACTGAAGCCATCTTATCTGTGCCTCAAACTAGTGATATTCTGAACATCAACATGGAAACTAGATCAGATTCACCACTGAATGATGGCCAAAATAAAAAAATACCTAAAATTGCTAGTACTCAAGAGAGTGTGTTAACGGAAATGGACTTTGCACAACAAATGCCAGACATACTTGAAGCCACTCTCCCCACAGGTGTGACTGGAGAAAGCACATACCCTGTCAGATTAATAGAGCAAGAAGACATCAACATCACAGGTTCACATGACGATAATAATAAACTGAATAAAGCAGAAGACGAGGCAGGGCATATTGAAAAACCAGTTTGTCAACCAAGTGACGAGAGCTCTTTGCCAACTGCAAAAATACGAAAACTTGGCTCAAGTCGAAGGAAAAAGGAAGTCAATTTAAAGGAATTACATGATCAAGGTCATGAGTTGGCTGTGGAAAGTAACATATCTAATACATTGGAAACAACTGATCTTACAGCTGTACTAAATACCCAGGAAGTTACTGTAGACACCTCACTAGATGATGCCTACAGAGAAGAGGAGCAACCAGTAATGTATGCATCACAAAATGTCAAACATATTGAGGAACCAAAAGTTGAAGATTTGTTAGTTGATTTTGAAGACCAAGAAGTTAAAGAGACAAGATCAAATGATGATGAAAAAGTTGTTAGCCCGCAAGATCTATCTGAACTGTCATTTATAGAAATCTCTCCCACAGATGACACAATTACACCCCAGTCTTCCTCACATCCAGATATTACTGTCAGTGTGCAAGATGTTGAAGTAGCAAAAATACTAGAAACCGGTGACAGTTTCACACAGCAAGTTTTTGAGGAAACTGATGAGTCAGCAGAAAGCATAACAGTTGAGAATTCTTTAACATCAGGAATCAGAGCAGAGGGTAACGCCTGTTCAAAAGAAAACACTGGCACTTTTGAAAATGACTTTTTTGCAACAGAGGAAGAAGAAAAAAAAGAATTTGTTCATCAAGAAGTTAAAGATGAGACCTTAATTAGCAGCAGTTTGTCAAGTGAAATTCCTTCTGAATTGGAAAGGGAAATGTCTTCTATTGCACAATTGATAACAGAAGATGAAACGATTCAACTTGGTGATCCCATGTTTGGAGCACAAATGGGAATACAGTCATCAACAGAAAATCTCCTTCCTTTTGATCAACATGACAATTCTGATTTACTGAATGTTTCTGTCAGTCCTGAACCAGAAGATAAAAATGAGATGTATGCAGCACAGACTGAAAATATGGATCAAAGAACCTCATCATCTGGGAGTGTCGCTGATGAAGACAGCTCAGTGGACTCAACAAATAATAAAGACACATTTTCAGATGATAAAAGTATAAATCTAACAGAGGAACAATTAGTTAAAACTTCTACAGATGGAGTAAGCACTATCCCAGATCAAGAAGAAGATATAAAACTCAGTGATGAATCTCAAATCGTACATGAAGATAAACCTTTGGTATCTCCAAACATCAGCCTGGATGATGTTTGTGAGGGGGAGGGATTATTAAAAGCGGAAACTACAGCAGCAGTGGTTCAAGAGCCAAATTTGAAAAGCAGTACTTACCCAAATGAAAATATTAACTTTGGCCTCTTGGATGAAAAAAACAAAGAAATTGATGAGAAAAACTTTAAAGAGGAGACAATTGAAAACAGTGGTATATTGTCAAAAGAGATGTGTTCTGAAGAATCTGACATGTCAATAATGTCAAAAGATGGAGTCACTGAACCTACTGTTGAACAACCTGCATTGCATGTTACTACTGAAGACCTGCTGCACTTAGATGAAAGCAAAGAATTTGATGTACAAAATGTTAACACTCGTCTCGAGAATGTGACGCATAAAGGTGTTGATGACAACTCTGCAGGTTTAGCAGAGCTAGGGGAAAGTACAGACAAACTGCTTTTTAGTGCAACACACAGTGCAAAGAATGAGTCTGAAGGCGCTAATACTGCAGTCATTTTAGAGCAAGAACCAGAACCACTCATGAGTTCTACATTAAGCACTGATCCTAAAGAGGAAGATAAAGAGATAGAACTTGCTGATAAACAGTTTCTGAATGAACCTATCTATCCGTCTTTTCTACAAAAAGAAGAACCTCAACCAGAAGAACCACCCAGCCCAGATGTTTCAACAGAAGAACATAGTGAGGATAATAAACTAAAACAATATGTTGAGGTGGAACTGCTTGCATCGCCAAACAAGGAAAATGTTTTTGTTTTGATACAAGATTTACCTGAAGTAGCAGATGGGGAGAACCATCCAACAGAACTAAATAAAAGTAATGACAATGTTCCTATTGAGATCTCTGAAGATCAAATGGAGAAAAATGAAACAATAGTTGGTCTGCAAAAACAAGACATTTCTGACAAAGATGCAGTTCAAATTCCACATACTGATAAAATAAATACATCTCTGGCTTCTCCACATCCAGATGCTTCTGTTGGTGAGGAAGATGGGACTAATGAAGGCTCACAGCTCATAGGAAACAGAAGAAAACTTGGGTCTAGCCGCAGAACCAAAAAGCAAAGACAGGTTAATAATGAATCAAAGGAGACTGATGTTACACCAAATGAAAGGAGTGCAGTAACTCAAGTAGAGTCTGTAATTGAGGAACAGAACCAAGAATTCTGTATTGTTGAACAGGCGACTGGGCAAGAATTGGACAAAAGCTCCGTACAAGTTCATGATGAGGCCTCGGAGCCAGTTGAAGACATTGTAATCACTGATAAAAACTTAAAATCAACAAAAGTGACAGCATTGTTTGAGGATTATTTTGTAAAGGATATTGTCAAGGACAATGCATTAAAAAGTGAAAACATCCAATCCAATGTTACAGACAGTGTATTAAAAGTGGATTCATCATTCAGACAGGAATCACCCAAAGAACCTCAAGACACTGAAGAGAATGATTTAGAAACTGGAATTTATGCATTAAAAGAGCCAATAAATGTTCATCAGTTAACGTATTTATCAGATAATGAGACACATGAAGAAATAGATACCTCTTTGCTACAAGCTGAGCATCCAGATCAGGTGGAAACTATTGGAGAACCCTCTGAAGCTGTGCAGTTGGTTAATGCACCTAATACTGACCCACACCATGGTCGGAGAAGAAAACTGGGTTCAAGTCAAAGAATGAAAGCAAGAAAACCAGAATTAACCACCGCAAATGATGAACCAGTCAATGAAAGCCAAGATATTGATAAGGTCACAGAGTTTGTGCAGTCAACTGCAACAGAAGATTTACCACAAAAAGAGCTAAATAGTCTTAACTTTGCATCAGAAATAGAGGCAGAACTAACAAATCAAAGCAATGCAAAACCTGCAGACAAAATATTTGTATTATCTGACAAAGAGCAGACTGTTGACAGTGAATTCTCCAACCAAGACAAGGAGAGGAATATCCAAGAAAATAAATCAGTTGAAGTCGAAAGTAGTTTTACAGTAGATCTGAATGACAAAGCAGAAGCAGATTCACCACACAATGCTGATGTACTCCAGGATAACACAAAGGGAGGATCAGAGGAAGTGATCACTGCAAAAAGTGAAGTTTTAATGCAATCAGCTGTAACAGATGCAGCAAACATACCAAAGAATCAACAAGAAGTTCAAGACATGGAGTTTTTAAAGACAACTTCTGAACCCAAAAGAAGAAAGATGGGCTCAACTCGGAAATCACAGCTCAATAGGAAGCAACAAGATGAAGAGCAATCCCCAGAAGACAATGCAGCCATTTTTGACATCACAGCAGCTATACATGGGGAAAAAAGTATTGCAGTTGTTGATGAAGAAGATGTTAGCATTGCCACTGTTAGCCCTGTTAAAGATGAACAGCAAAATGAAGATAGCGCAGAAATGCAAATGGTAGCGCAAGAAAGTAAGAAGGATGAGGCTTTGCCAGTAGAGGAAGCTGCACTGATAGAAGTCATAAATAAAGATGCAACACACAATCTTCAACCTATTACCAGTGAGGAAATTCAACCATCAAGCCCAGGCAAAAGGAGAAAAATGGGTTCCACTCGTAAGAATTTATCAACTAAAAAAGAAAGTTCACTAGAGGAAATAGTCACTCCTATAAATGTCGAAAAAGAGGCAGTTATGAATGTTTCAAATGAAAATATTGAAAGTAAAGAACCCAGTGCCTTACTTATACATGAAGCATCCGTGCATCAACAACCACCAGAGGAAGAAACCCCTCTCAGCCAACAAAACAAGCAGTTGAGACCTGAGTCAGAGTTAGAGGTCTCTCCCCACCCTGATGTAATGACAGAAGATGCAGCTATAGCAAGAAGAAGAAAAATGGGGTCACATAGAAAACCCCACACTGATCAAAGCATCAGGCAGGTAAAGGGCACTGAAGAGAGCCTGCATCCACTAGAAGGACCAAGAACAGAGTCACCAAAAACAGGTCAAACAGAGGTATGATTTTATTTAACATTTTTATTTTATTTTATTTTATATTATTACAGGTCAAAGGTACACCACCTGCTTGTCTCCCTGGAGATGTTAGTGTCTAGCCTGAAATGTTCTATAGTGACATTAAATTACACAAAATTGACTCTTATGAGCTTTAAACCATGTTAGAATGTTGTTACCTCATCAAACATACTGTACCTGGAGTTGTGTTTTGTTTCATTCACACATGATGGAGTAATCCTGGATTATCTCCAAAAATTCAAAACGCTCCCCCCTTGTGATGTCATAAAAGATGTTTTAGACCTCAGCCTAAATATACTCAGTGTATGTGTTAAACATGGGCGAATGAAACGCAACTCCAGGTATGTTTTTGATAAGGAAATATTATAACACAAAAAAATAAGCTATAGTGTGATACAGTTAAGTTAAACAGCAATTCCATGGAGACTTTACTACACTATATTACTGGTCAGATCTGAGGAGAGGCGAACCTGTCTTCTGTAAAAATTATTTATTATTAATTATTTTTATCTATAATTCAGTAAATGTAAGATGATTTTAATGCCATACTGTGGAACTTTCGGTGCAACCATAGACCGTATATATACTGTAAGCCATATATACCGTACATATGACCGTATGTACTTTTTTTATACAGTCTATGGATGCAACGGAGAGAGGCAGGTGGTGCACCAGAAAAATTAAGATAGTGCATTGTTAATTTAAATGTTTACCTTTACTAGTATGTTCTATTTGAACAAACACTTTGTTTCAAGAAGTGGTCACAAAAAAAAAGAGGAAGATGTGGTGGGCATTGCTGTTTCATCGATGTTGTGAACATACTTTTGAAAGTATTTTGAAAGCTTCTTCATTTTGATATTGTAAGCAAACATTACAGTAGCTTGCTCTTATGCTCCATCTTTGTTATTGTCTTTACAGGAAAGAGACAACAAAGCCTTTTCCACTGCCTCTGCTTTCAATATTAAAGGGGACACTAGGCCTGTGGGGTGAGTCTTAATCAATATGAAGCAGTGACTCTTAAGTGGTGGATCAAGAATCCAAATATGTGCAAATGTGATTTCATGTTCTATGCATAAATTTCCTAAAGGACTATATTTTTTTTTCCACTACAGTCAGAAAATTCCACAACAACTGCCTCAACCGTCTATGAATGTTCGCCGGGCCCAGCAGAGTAATATCAGGCTTGCTGCAGGTAAATCAGACCTAAATATAATTTTTTCCTACATTCAAGTGTCAAAGCTGGTGTAATGATTCAAGAGTAATGAAATGATCACTTGTACCTGACACATCCACAAGTAGATTATTATGTGTTTTTGTGTATTTATTATTAATAGTAATCCAGAAATTGCACCAATGGAAATTGTGTTGTATGCATATCCTTTCTAGACCTTCTTAACCCCACATGAGTCACATGACCTTTACTCAGCATTATTGACTGCCCCACTAAAATATAAATAAAATAAAATAATCTAAATGTTTTCCAAGTTATACTTCAAGTGTACTTGATTCTGGGGCTTAAACAGTGCCTCTCCAGCCATAAAGTATGACATTGCCTAACATCTTCTTCAGGTTATGATCTGAGTGTCAGTAAGTATGAGGTCATCATGATTGGAGACAGCAGTGTGGGCAAGACCTCATTCATGCAGAGGGCTCAGAGTGGCAAGTTTTCCTCAGATATCCCTGCATCTATTGGTAGGAGTCAAGCATATAATTAAAATACTTTTACTGATGCCAGTGCTTTCATATTTATCTCTCTGTTTTACTTATGCTAAGATCTTTGTTATTGACTCCAGGAATGGATTCATACAAGTGGACAGTGGTTGTGGATGGGAAAACTGTTGTGCTGCATCTATGGGATACAGCTGGGCAGGAGAGGTATGTATTATTATGTAGTAATTCAAAAGTACAGTATTTATATCATTTTTGTTTTATAAACGTCAAAAGCATAACAAAAGCACATGCTATTTGTTCTCAAGCTCTTTTCCACTGCTGTGCACAATTGGATATATGACAAGAGTAATTGGTTGTCATTGAGTCCAAGACAATTTGTTCCTCTTTTAAGACTGAGTTATTCCCTGTTCTCAAAGAGACAGCCTGTTCTCTGTGCAGGTCTACAGAAAGGATTTGCGAAATATACTTACTTATGTACATATGAGCTGGAGCTAGGAGTTTGTTAGTAGTTTAAATGAGTCTACCAACAGCTCCCTGATCATGAGGCGTGCCCTTTGGGCCAAGTTGAAACCTGCTGCAGAACAGGTTTGGCACGTCATTGCCAGCTGTTGGAACACCTCTATTAGATGTATATTTGCACACTTAATTATAGTGATATTTAGTTTCATAAATGTAAATGTAATTACTTGAAAGATATTGAAATGGGCCACAATGTGAACATCCATGTCTTTGTATTAGCCCCAACTCCAATTAATTTAAGAGGGTTGTGTCAGAAAGAGGTATTAAAGCAGTTACTGTTGCCTCAACTACAAATAAATGTCGCCATAGTGCATTTCACAATTAGTTTATGTTCTAATAATCTCTTTATGACATTTGTAGATTTCACAGCATGACTAAACAGATCTTCCACCGAGCCCAGGCATTTCTCTTGATGTATGACATTACCTGTGCTCAGACTTTTACAGCTGTGACTTACTGGGCAAACTGTATCAAGGTAGGTGCATAAAACATCTCCAATATGTTTTTACTTTACCTATCATGGGCTTCTGAATGATAAAAAAATGAAGGCTGTTGCCATAGCAATTAACAATGTAAAACATTCTATCTTTTGACTGGGAAACAATCCAATGAAGGAAGAAGCTTTTGGTTGATGACAAAATTATACTTTTATACTGATGCATGTGCAACATACCAATCTTGCTCTATAACTGTTTTTGTAGGAAGGAGCTGGAGAGAATGTAGTTATTTTACTACTTGGGAATAAGAGTGACAGCAAAGAACGAAAAGTTAGAACAGTGGAGGGAGAACTTCTTGCCCAGGTAAAAATATCCTTTAAATGTTATCTGTTGGCATCCTTATAATTTATATCTGCAAGATATAAGATACATATTTTCATATATCAACAGGAGAATGACTTTGCCTTCCTTGAGTGCAGTGCTGCTACAGGTGAAAATGTTATTGAAGCTCTGGAAACAGTTGCCAGGTAACACTCCAGTTTACATAATCCTCCATAATTATTATATTTTTATGTTCCTTGTATGTTTTCTTGTTGTCAGGCTGTTGAGTCAAAAGGCAGCCAGACGGGAGGAGCCTCTGGTGTTGCGTAAACCTGAACCAAGAAACAAGGGATGTTGCTAAATATGGCAACACATTATTGTGAATAGATGAGTAAAAAGTCATTATATTATATTTTTAAAAGCATAAAAGGAATTTAACTATATCATTTTATCTGTAAAGTAACTGTTGCATGGAAAAAGATTTTGTACATTTAGGTTGAATGTTGTGACTTTGAATTAAGGGATAGCTTTAAATTGTGTAAATTTGCTTTAAATACTGTAACTATAATAGCCTATCTATACAATCAAAACATGTGGGAAGTATGGGAGGAAGTAATTTCTACTTTTGCACAACCAATGCCACTTTTGCAATTCTTTGTGACTTGTGTATTTTTATATATTCTGTAGCCTACTTGTTTTTGTTGGCAACCACAATGCAACACAATCTATTAAACTGTTACAGTTTAGCAGTCTAAACCTAAAGTATGACAACATGATGCACTCAAGGTTAATTTGTCCTTGCAAAGGCTGCCTCTTATTCCTCCTCTGCAGCAACAACATTGAAATAACTTTAAGGTACACGTTGCTGGAAATTGATTCCAATAATTCAATCTATTTACCCGGCCAGCCAGAACTGCATGCTTTACAAATAGAATGTAGACGGGATTGGGATTGGTCAGGCAATTAAGCTCTCACAGTTCTCAAAGTGGAGGTAACAGGGTGATGAGGTGGGGGTTGTGTGTTTTAGTGAAATAAACCACTCAAAACAAATTCAAAACTACTTTTCAATGTTGTGAAACATGAAAATATTACCCAGGTCAATCTTATTTTTCAGTGGGCAGTTAATGAAAGTAAAAATTCTTAAAGTAAACTTTTTTTAATAGAAATTAAAAAAAATATACACATATATTTAATTGAAAGCATCTATTCTATGTGTTGTATTCTGACTGGTGGATATGTCCCTTTCCTCCACATGTAGCTCTGAGTTTTTGTTTTGTTCTCTGGTGTCTCTTTTCCTCTTCTTTGTGGTGTGGCACTGTTGTATGGCATTCATAACTTCTGCAGCAGTCCATTGGTTATGAGTGAGGGCATGGTGCACAGTGAATCTGCCATCTCTAGTCCGTCGAATTCCTTTACAAACTGCTGTGCTGCGTAGCTCCAGTCCGATCTCATGCACCACTTTACAGAGGTATTTCTGTGTTTCATTTATAACCTGCACCTCTGCAATGGATACAAATGAATTAATAGACCATAGAACAGGGCAGTATTAACAAAAAGTTGTTTTTTTTTTTACTTCCCAGATAATAATTAGATAGTATCAGAAATGTGCTAGAATGTGCTCTAACCTCTTGCTTGAGATTCAAGTATTGCACAATTGTCTTTTAGAGCATTTTGTAGATGTCCATGTCCAATAACACTCTTTAGTCTAATTGAACATACCTTCAAACCAGATCTGACCTCAAACAGATCTGTTAAGTTTAGGGAATTAGATTTAGAATTTGTCTCTTCCTTCATTTTCAAGATACTCTGGTTTTCAGTTCATTGCTAGTGGGTGCACCTGTCAGTTTAGTTTACATACCTAAAGTAAAGTTGGGAGGCTCAAAGCAAATGCACCGCAGGCGTAAAAGAATAGGCACTGACTTTTCCTCTGGTCCCAATAGACCTTGAACTGCCATTTCATATGCTTCTTGTGAGCGCATATCCACCCTTGAATACCTACAAATCAAAACACAACAAGATCAAAAGTTATTCTAATGCAGTGCTTGCATCCTTTCATTGTAATTACAAATGCTCTCTTACTTACGTTAGCAGTGCTTTTTGATTGGCTCCCTGCAGCATTGCCAAGACCTTTTCAAGTTTATCCTGTGTGATGTGACCTATTCAGACAATACTTGACAAATTAGTTTGCAATCATCATAAAATAAATATTGGTATGTAAAAAGAACATTACTATAAGTGGATCTTTCTATAATACGGCCTTGGTTTGAAAAGTCATCCGTCGCACTCCCAAACACTCCCTCAACTGTATAGTCCTGTAGAGAGGGAAGGGGAAAAAAAAAAATATATATATATATATATATATATATATATATATAATATATATATATATATATATATATATATATATATATATATATATATATATATATATATATATATATATATATATATATATATATATATATATATATATATATATATATATATATATCACAATAATGTGTTTTTGTTTTGTTTATTTTTAAAAAATGACAACATTTCTCACCCTTGTGACACGAGAATTGTAAAGGTCATTCAAAACTTTGTTTGCATTTCCAATGCCAAGAACTGGGACAAAAATATAGAAATTACAATAAAATGCATAAGACAATCCACGTTTCTGTGTTTCTTGTTGTGTATTATACCTAAAACACCAGAAGAAAAAGCATCCAGTCGATGGCCCACTCCAACTTTAATGTGCTGAAAATCAGGTCCGGTGACTGAAAAAAAAATTAACATTAAATTTAAATTGAGAATATTTTCCTCATGAAAACATTATGCACCTTTAACATCAATGAAAGAGAGTAGACGTATAGCAAGCAGCATTAGGAAGGACAGTATAATAGCACAGTACATACCCAGCGGATGCTTGGACAGAACTGGCACACTGGCAGCTGACAGGGTGAGTGCCTTAGGAGCATCTTCATCTTTTGTGCTGTCTTGGGATAACAAATAGCGCACCTCTCGTGGCACAGGACGGGACGCTGAGGCGTTTAAATCTAAAACAAGACATAAAAAGATAAGAAAATATAGTGCTAGAAAGCTCGAAGATGTCAAGGCGTACTGACCTTTGAGAAGATTGGTTTCTACTGTGTCCCGGACCAATTTCCAATGAACACCCGGGGGTTTGTACACACAGAACAAGCCCTGCAACCTCCGATAATGCCTGGCGGCCATAGTCGTATTATAGCAAGTATTTTACTCACATGATCTTAAACTAACTATATTTCACCGTAAAACTACACACAACCCATATCAACATTAGCTAGCTGCGTGTGTCTAACGCATGCGCAATTATGTTTGTTGTTGTTCTGTGCCGCGGCATGTTTCTCTACCGCCGTCTACTGGAGTGGCTGTACTGACTAGAATAAAATGTAATAACAATATTTATAGGGCATTCGCATATATAATCACTTAAATTCGATTGAACACGATTTGCGAATATCTTCGTTAAAAGTGAACCTTAGATTAATAAAAAATCAAAGAGATTTTAAAAATAAAAATAAAAATAAACTTTTCGCAGGAGGCGTTCCTTCCTTTTGTCGTAGAAGAAGACCAATGTTTCGGAAGTATTTTTGGCTGGTCAGTTTGGTGTCATCTGCTGCATAATTTGGGTGAGTTTTAGAGGATCATCAAATATTGTTGGACATCTATGCCATTTATTTGCATGTCTGTATCACGATCTTATAGCTTGATGTTTGTTTTATTATTGAAGTCCTGTGGCTGTTCTGATATTGGACTTTTGTGTAGACAAGCATAAGATGGACTGAACTAAGTGTAAATGAATCTTTAACCTCAAGAAGGTCTATGTTGTGTTCATTTACATTTAAGATATGTGATGCACTGTTAATCATAGACACTGTTCTGTTTATGAGTTCATCTAGTAAGCTCCCCTTGTCTTCCTGAAGGTGTGATGCGTGCTGCTTTGAAATGGGTGCTGTGGGACGTCAAGGACACTCTGCTAAAGGTGCGTTTTTCAGTGGGAGAGCAGTACTGCAGAGAGGCTGAGAGAATAGGCCTCAATCTCAAGCCTGTGGAGGTCAACTCTGCTTTTCGTCAGACATATAAAAGTTACTCAAGCAGATATCCCAACTATGGCATTGCTCAAGGTCTGAATGGACACAGTTGGTGGACCGGTGTGGTGCAAGACACTTTTTCTTTATGTGGGGTTCAAGATCCTGCACTTCTTCAGACAGTATCACACAATCTCTATCACAACTTCTGCAATGCTCAGAACTGGGAGGTAAATCAAATGAAATATACTGTTTAAGATAGTTAAAATAATAATAAATGAATGGATTTTGTTACAGGTGTTTGACGATTCCAAAAAGGTTCTGGAGGCTTGCTCTTCCCTTGGGCTGAAGCAGGGTGTAGTGTCCAACTTTGATAAGCGCTTGGAAGCCATTTTGAAATCATGTGATCTGTTGTCACACTTCAGTTTTCTGATGACCTCAGAGGCGGCTGGTGTAGCCAAACCTAGTTCTCTCATTTTTGAACAGGCTCTGCATAACTGTGAGGTCTCTGCTACACAAGTGGCTCATGTTGGAGACCATTACATCAATGATTACCTTGCCTCTCGTTCTATTGGCATCCATGGCTTTCTTTTAGACAGAGACAACAAATACAATCAGTCTGGCATTGTTCCTAAAGAACACTGTCTCAACTCTTTAGAAGAGCTGCCATCACGACTGCAGGAGCAGATGGACTGAGGCTGAGAGTTAGGTGTTCAGAAATGAACAGTGATGAAGTTTAGTCAGACATTTTCAGGCTGGCTTAACAAAGAAATTCAAGACATTTATTGTAA